TGGTTTTTCTCTGTCCCTTGACATACCTGTCCTGCGAATGGAGCTGTGGGCTGTGGAACGGACCCAATCTGGCTGGAGAGGCTTGACTTCTACAAAGAAAAGATAAAGTTTTCACGCCCTTGTTTAATCAAATGCACATTTGTGTCATACTGAGTTCAGTACATAAAGATGTTTAGTATCTGTTTTGGAAGTATAACTTCTTGCTCATCCATCTGTTCAGAGCTGTGAAGTGTTTAATTCCCTCTGTTCTCCACTAATCAGTGAAAGCCATGTAGGCCAGCCAGCTTTTACGAGGGAAGTTGTCATGGTTTAACCTGGCTGGCAACTAAACACCACGCAGCAGCTCACTCACCCTCCCCCACCCCTGGGAAATGGGGAAGAGAACTAAAGGGGAAAAGAGAAGGAGGCTCATAGATTGAAATAAGAACAACTTAATAATTGAAATAAAATGAAATTAAATGTAATAATGATAAAAATAATAATAAACATAATAATATGTGATAATATACAAAATGATAATAATGTATACAAACAAGTGATGCACAATGTAATTGCTCACACCTGGTGACCAACGCCCATCCCATCCCAGCAAGTGACCCTGAAACAGAGAAGTCCCAAAACCACAATCCCATAAGAGAGAGAGTCCCAGAAAGACAAACCGGGGGAAAAAAAAGGCGAGAGAGAGAGAGAGAGAGAACTAGACAATCCGAGAATCCGAACTTCCTGGCTGACCCTGATCTCTATACTGGGCATTATGTTGCATGATAAAGAATATTCCATTGGCCAATTTGGCCCTCAATCCTAAATCTAGGCTCAAATCATAAATAAGGAGTTTTGAGTCCTTTGTCTCAGCCATGCTGCCCACAGCCTGCTGTGCACCTGCACACTGGCAGAACATGGGAAGCTGAAAAGTCCTTGATGTGTCAGTAACAACTTTAAATATCAGCATGTTACCAACATTGTTCTCATACCAAATCTCATAATAAATCCAAAACACAACACTGTTGTAGCTGCTAAAAAGAAAACTAAGCTGAAACCAGGCCAGAAGTCCAGCAAAAAAATGCATTTCAGAGATTTGGTCATTATGCATGTGACTCTCCTAAATCAAAGAATTTTACTTGATTCCAATAAAATTTCCTCTCTGAAACTGGTTTACGAAAATGGGAAATTGTAATTACAGTGTCTGACATTTCAGAATTGACTGCCCTGATTAAGGTGGGCAGTAGGAGGTCCACAAGTAACCAAAGAAATTCCGTTACTTTTGGAAAAGATAACTTAAAGCGTTGGGGGAGCAGTACTTTATGCCTAGTTAGTGAGAAGAATCATGTTTTCTTAATGTCCATTTCTTGGGACACATTTACTGTTTCTGAAGATGAGGTGTTACTTCTTTATAGCTTTCCTCACCATATGGCTGTCTCAATATGAGTATTGCTAGACATCCTGACAAATGTCAGTGTCATCCATTTGGTACCACTCTCCTTGCTGACCTGAAATTCAAATCCAGGCCCTGGGGCTGGACTTAGCCTTGTATGGTGTGTGGACTTTATCAGGCAGTCTGTGGGGCTTCCTTGCTCTGGGGAGAGGCTCTCTCTGTGCAGTCAGAGATTTCAAGAGAAAACTTTCTGCTCTGCTCTGGTGTCTAAAAGCATGTATTATTTTTTGCCCTTTTTTCCCAAGTAAGCAGGAATTAATCTTAAGCCCTGGCCATCATTCCATTTCCTAAGTACTCCATCCTGTGTTGTTGCTAAGTGTACATCAGCTTCAAGGTTTGCCTTTGCCATCATTTATGGTGCTTTCCTGTAGGGATCAGAAGAGTAACCTCAGTAAGAGAGGTGCTATATAAAATCAAAATATTTTCTGTCCTCTCCTATTTCTACTAGTAAAATTTATCTCTTTGCATTAGCCAGCCTAAAGCTTCTTTCATGGAGCACCAACTTCAGTGGAGATCTTCATGCTGCAGTGAGCCTCTGCTTCAGCATTTGCTTTTACGCAGCGAACACTGCGAGGCCCCAGTGCTGCCAGGTCAAGGGCAGCTGTAGTGCTTAAACATAGCTTAGGGCACTTCTGGATCCAGATGATATTGGCCATTCTTATGGCCCAATTATCTTGTCCGTTCATCAGTCATGTATATTTATATATGCATATGTGTATATGTATGCACACACACATATATATTTGGAGGGCAAATTGAATTTATACTGGCTTTAGTGATGCTTTTATGAATACAAATGACTGACACAAAATACAGTGTCAAAACTAATCAACTCAAATGGAGAGATTGAAGAGATAAATGGAATCTTTTCTTTTTCTGTTCCATAACCATTTAAGAATGGGAAAAGCTGATGGCTCTGGGGTGGAAAGCTGAAGGCGAGTTGCTATGTGTCTGCCATTGGGGAAAATAATCCAGTTAGTAAATGTAACTAAACCTACTGGGAAAAATAATTTAAATCTGAACCACTTCCACCTGGGCTTTATTTTTTTCCTCTAATTCTTCCATTACTTCTTAATAATGCCATAGCTTCCACTTAGCATTTATTTTTCTTTAGTATAACAGCTCTTTTAAAGGCAGGTGAAAACCTCATGATGAAACACTGCGGAAAAATTCCCAAAGGTCTAAAGGGTAGCATGCACAAAAAGAATACAAAATGACCAAATTCTCAGCCATAGCAGAGCTAGGTCCTGGTTTACACAAATTAAAATCCAGTCAATGAACGATGGAAATACAGAAGACTGGAATCCCTACACTGTGATTTTAATCTTATGAAGCCAGTCAAAGAGAACACAATGTAATGAAAAAGAAAATGTGCATGAAAGCCAGCATTAAAAAGCATAGTAGAGATTTATTTCTTAAATAATGAAGTAGTGGATTTATTTCTTTTTGTCTGTATTTCTAGTTGATTTTCTGACAAAAAGCAGAATTTTAAATGAGTGTAAAAATATTTAGACTTAATATTTAGAATCATGAGTTACACTGAAGTAGAACTAAATCCAATTCACCGAACTTTAAAGATTATTAGCTAGCCAAGCTTAGGGAACTGACTCATTTTCTAAAGTCTGAGTGACTTAATGAACATAGCAGTGAAGCATGTTGCATGCTTTAACTTATCGATATGAGTGTACCATTCATGTCTACTGTATATATGTATATGTTACTGCATTAATCTGATTTGGGGTTAGCAGAAAGAGAGACAGTCACAGGCTCTGTGTCTTTCCAGAATCAGTTCATTTTTTAGTTCTGATCAGACACAATTTTCTTCATTAGAATTATGAGTGACAAACAACAGAGTAATTTCAGAAATATTAATGAAGAGCTAAATTTCTGTGTATTGCTATTGCCAGTGCGATTAGACTATCTTTTGTGCGACATTGTATATATTTTAACAGGAAATCTCTTATAAATGTACGGTTCCTGATAAAGACTGAAGGTCACAGAAACTCCACTTCCAGAAAATGACACAAAACTTTATTTTCTGGTCCCATCATTAGCCCTGTCAGTAGAATTTAGAAGGAGACATGGATGCCATTTTGCTAAGCTCACAAATGTTGGCTGTCTCTTCTTTAAAGCATCATGACAATGTGTTCTCACTGATGTCATTAAACAGGTATATGAGAAGCTATTAAGTAATGCTGAGGAGTTTGGATGACAGATAAAAGTTGCTCCAGTGCAACTGTGGACTCTTACTGCCTTATAGTAAGACTCTGAGAATTCCAAGAAAAGATACATTTCACCATTTGGATGCCAAAAAAATGAACATTAAAAAGCAGATGAACTTACAAGAGCATGTTCATTCTCGTCTTTGGAAAGGGACTGAACATTGTAGCATTTTTGTTCTACCATTCCTGTCAACACTGGACTTAGTTTTGCCTAAACTGAGGGGATATAGGTCTTTTAGGAGCTAAGAGTGCTTTGCAGTGTGTGAAGTCATGTGTTACTCATGCAGCTTGAATATACCAAGGTTACTGTAAGGGCAGGTAATCACTGGGGACCATCATGACTGCAGAGGGAGAATGAGGATAGCAAGAGGAGCGATAAAGTTAAGCTGTTGCGTGCTTCGAGACAGTCGAAGGAGGAGTTGGCAATGTGCTAAAGGTGAACACAGCATCCTGAGAGTGCAGTATATGGTCTCATCCATAAAAAACAAAAAAGAAACAAACAAAAAAAAACACACAAAAAAACTTTCATTTTTATCTGAAAGTGACTGGATTTACAGAAAAAACTCTTTTTACCCCAAGGCATACTTCTGTGCGCATTTGGGGTTTAATAGCATTATGTGTTTCAAGTTGAAAATAGAGAGCCAGGTATAGCCTCAACTTGAACAAACCAGGGACAAGACTCTTCTACATATCACAATAAATGTCCTTTGCGCATTCTGGATACAGGTATAGTCCCCATTTTTCAGCAAAGTTCTTCTTAAAGGTTCATGGGAGTCAGGTGTGTCGTTTAAAAGGCAATTTTCACGATGCAGCTTGTGCAATGGTGTGAACTCTTTCTACTTTTTCACTTTTGTTGCCAGTGTTGATTTTTGCACTGATTTGCAATCTTCTAGGGACAGGAGATACACAGTGCACTTAGGATAAGGAGATCATGAGTATGATAAGTGCCTTCCAGTGCCACTGTAGCACAAATAGTAGTAAGAATCATCATCTTAGTGTATATTGAGATATACAGTTTAATACTGAGCTTCATATACATAATAGATCTGTTCTGAGATCTTTACAGAACAACGTACCGATGTATGTTACCACAAAACAAACTTTGATTCTGAAGGTCTTGTTTCTTTCTATGTCAATCCACATATTGTGTGCATTACAATATGTCATGTCAATGATACACATTTTAAATGGAAAGAGGTCCATATTATAAAATGGACATGGTAAAATATGTTTGCTTTGTACTTTTGAACAGGGAAGGACATGGTAAAATTTCCGTTTTTGCTGTCAAAATGGCCTTGGCAACTCTTTGTGGAGGAAAGATCATGGACAAATTAAGATGTAAGTCTTTTGAGTGACCTTTTTTACCTGTTAATCATTGTTGTACTTTGAGAAAGAACAGTGCAGCTAGGAAAAGAAGGAATTAGGATAAGTTACAGCTTCATGGCTGGGTTTGGGCTTTGTGCTATATATGTCTTCAAGTAAATCCCGCGAAATATTTCACTAAACTTCACACTGGAATTCATATTTTTGAAGCCAAATTGCATATATTGAGGTTCTGATTGGTGGATTTTATTTTTTTTCTTTGGAATGATTGAATTCAGAGTACAGGTAAGTGCCTCAAATGTTTAACGTCATTTCGCAGTTTCTTCAGACTTTTTTTAATAACATCTCTCTCATTGCACACTTAGAAGTACAATATATTTTTGCACTATTTATATTTCTTCCCATAAAGCATATACTAATTCCATCTATTTTGGGGAACAGGTTCTCATTTCACAGGATTTATTCCCAGTTCCGCACTAGCCAAGGCAAGGTTTACTTGCAGCTCCAATGAAAGACTTTCTGTTTAGTGCTATGATATCTGTCGCTCAGGTCCAGAACACCATTTTCCAGGCTTTTTGACCAAAGGATTAATATCAACCTTCAGTTTCCTCTGAGCCTTCTCCTACAGCCAAAGAAAACTGAGTTTACAAATTGTTGTTGATTAGAGTAGACAAGTAGAAATCCCAGGTGCTAACTTAGTCTTCCAGATTTGGTGCCATTTTTTGATATATTATTTCTATGTAGAAACTCAAATACAGACTCAAATTAAATTAGAAATTATAAATTGAATGCTATTTGTTCCCTAGTCTGCTTTAAGAATAGAAGCAGAGTCCTTCCAGTGGAAGGCTGGAGTACAGTGCTGTTTTTTCAGGTCAGCAGGCCCAGAGTCCTATTGTCAGAATTTCCCTTCTAGGTACCTGGAAATGAAGCAGCTGACATGACAGCCTGAAAAATCATAAATGTTCCTTAGTCTATGGTTCCCTGCTAGGCTTAGGATAATTTTAAACAAGGGGAAAAGTCAAGGCTGAGTAACATGCATCACCAGAATAATAAAACTGTGATATCTTTCTTTATACACGAACAAAAAAGAAAAAAAAAATAAAGAGTGAAAAGTAATGCATTTGAAAGACCTTCAGTGCTTTGTGTGTCCAAAACAATAATAACCGATTTGATCAACTCATTGTCAAGATTTAGATTTGACATGGTAAGCTGGCAGTAGGCAAAAAGCTGATGTCGCGTATCTTGTCAAATTGGATTAAACATGCAGAATATTGGAGGCTTCCATAAGCAGAACATGTTGTTTAGCACTTCTAGTTCAAATCAGATGATATTGAATTCAGAGCAAACCTGTAGCTCTCACTGAAGTTGCAGTGTCCTTTCTTTGTCTTTTCCTCCCTCAGATATTTTCTCAATGATTTCCGACTCCAGTGGAGTGATGGTTTATGGCAGATACGACATGTTTCTGCGGGAGGTTCTCAAGCTGCCCACGGCTGTTTTCGAAGGGCCGTCATTTGGTTATACTGAGCAATCAGCAAAATCCTGTTTCTCGCAGCAGGTAAAGAAAGAGTGAGCATCCTAGACACAAAACATCAATCACCCCTCAGAGCAGGTCAAGACTTTCTTCCTTTCTTACATATATGTGCATATTTGCCCAGGAAACACATGGCTGGGTGGAGGGGAGGTCCGCTTTGCTAATTTCTGGCATGAGAGTTAGGTGTCTTCAATAAGAATCTCCTCTCTATAGGTTCCTCTTATAACCATGGAGAAGAGAGAGAGGCTTAGTAAAGAAGTGATTCAGAGCAGGATCTTAACATAGATGTTCCTAAATTAGGGAGCCTAGGGAGACTAACTTTCTAATTTTATCACCTAAGTTAGAAACTTACATTTAGGTGGTATAAATATCCCAAGACATGCAATCCTCCACTCCAGTTAGTTGTTGTTGCTATAAACATATATGAGACTTTAATTTCTCCATACAAAGCTCAACTGCCACCGAAAAATCAAACTGTGTTTTCCAAGTGATGATATACACACATGAGAAGTTTACCAATGAGTAGAAAATTGCCTTAAACCTTTATTGAAAACGGGAGTCAACAGGTATTAGAAAATCCCTAGTCTCTTAGAGATAATATCAGTGAGATAGGGTCAGGAAAGCAGTTAATTTATCCTGAAGAAAAGATGAGATTTTTCCAAAACGTACCAGACTCCATAGATGTACTGAGTACAGTAAGTTGGCTGCAGCTAATACCTAGCACTTCAAAAGATTCCGTAACTGGGGCTGGTTGTCCACTTCTGCAGTGGAGAAAGAGACAATTCCTCTGGCTCTTGCCACACATCACACTGTATAATTCCATAAATATGAAGTAAGGGAAGTTGCTGAAACTAGGAAAATGTTAGAAATGAAGTGGTATTTTCCGTCTCTTTATCCTTCTGTTCACTAGCTGAATACTGTTGGACAAATAAGTTGAATGGAGCAGGAATAGTGTCATTTTCATGCAATATAGAGGCATTTTTTATTTTCCCTCAGTTTTGTCACTAATCAATAGGCACTCCAGTCAACCAAAACGCATTATTGAAATTCATTTATCGAAGCATCTCCCAAATAATTTTAAATGGTAATGTTTGCATATGTGAAACTAGTCTCGTTTCACCAAAAGAGACTTAAGACAGCACTTCATCTTATGCTGAAGAACTTGCATATTTGTGTCAAAAGAATGCTCTTACACAGCAACAGGACATTCAAGCTTTGCATGTTGGACATGATATTATTAAAGATCAAAAAAGACGTTTATTTTCTTGAAAAAATGTCATTCAGGCCTCATTTTCTATCTAAACAGCCATCAAAAATGGCACTTTCATTGGCATCGCATCCAAATGAGTGGCCCAGATGTACTAAAGTACCTTAAGAAACAAAGTCTGCAAACAGGCATTAGGTGGTTTAGTTTACAATCTCCTTTAAAGCTAACAAGAGTTAGGTCTCTGACTGATGTAGGTACACAGCGATTTACAAAGCTGCTGTTTTGCATCTGTAGGCAGCCAAGTGCTCCGCTAAATCTAGTCTAATATTTCACTTAAATTCACTTCATGCAATTCTCGTTACATCTTCACTAGGGATGAACTAGAGTTTTGTAATGAGACCTGAAACAACATACCCCAATGACACTATGATAAATGATACCCACAGTCCTAGTCACACTGTAGGTCATTCTTTCACTCTCTCATATTGCACTTAGCGTTATCAACAGTTGATACCTTGGAATAATTTTGGCAGTCTCTCTTGTTCTCAGTGTGGATCATTTTTGCTCAGCAGAAGCCTTTCAGCCCCTTGATACATAAATTCCTCAGTTTCAGGGAAATAAAAAATTCTGGGAATATTCTTCTTCTCACAGTGTCAAATCTACTTCAGTTTGCATCTGAAAGTATTTTTCCTATTGCAGAAATCATAGAATCATAGAATCATAGAATGGCATAGGCTGGAAGGGACCTTAGAGATCATCTAATCCAACCTCCCTGTCATGGGCAGGGACGCCTCTCAGCTAGATCAGGCTACTCAAGGCTCTGTCTAACTTGGCCTTGAACACCTTCAGGGAGGGGGCATCCACAACTTCTCTGGGCAATTTAGTCCAAAGTCTTACCACCCTCATTCCCCATTGTACCAGTTTATTTGATCAAACCATGTATTTTCCTCTGTCTGTGAACCACTGCGAGATTGAATGGCTATTTAGAATAGAAACAACAGTGTTTCCTCATCAGCAAATTTATGGAACAGAAATGCCAGAGCAACTGACATAATGTTTCAGAATACAAATCTGTGGCTCAAAAAGGAGTCTTATCGCCACCACTTTCCTCTACAGATAGGATTAATGTGATGTTATACTGTATTTGTATTAAAAAGTGTTGTTATTATTCTAAAAACCACTTTTTGTTTCTATTTTTTTGTCCCATACTAAAAAGATAGACACTAACTTCATTTTCTTAGCGCTTGGCTAAGTGTTATTCCACAAACCTAGACTCCATCTGCATGTGGAGTATATTTAGAAAACAGCTTTCAGTTTCAACTTTCCCAGCAGCTGAAAAAAAAAAACTGTGAGAGGAAAATATGCCTTTTAAAATGTATGGAATTTGCTCTTCTGCTGTCCTTTTAAGGGACACTGCTCTCCCTAATCCGTAAAATCAGTGACCACCAGAGGAGTTTGGCCATAAAGCTGTCAGTGAAGCAAAGTTGCTTTATTTGTTGGAAATCAGCTTCTAAATTATAGCTGCATTCAAAAGCCTATTCCATTGTGGAAGAGCTGTTGTTGTCTCCCCATCTATTTGCTTGTTTAGACTGGTTGTGTGTTTGCTGTCAGCTTATCTGCCTTCAAGAGCAGAGGGAAGACTTAAGGCTACACAGCTCTGCAGTATGGTGCACTGGAGGACTCTTCTTTTCCTAGACTTAGTTTTGCCTTTTCTCCTCCTGTTCTCAGCACTGCTGCAGACAGCACAGACGTTTGCTGGTGGTCAGCAAAGCCTTGCCAAACATCCACAGCAGATCTCCAAAAGAAAGATCCCTTTCTGTGACATGATGCTTACAGTGTAGGAAGCCTTATCTGGGAAGTGGTTATCCCCTTTCTATGGGTGGGAAGATCATTCATACGACAAGCAATTGGTAGCCATTTGTTTTGACTGTCATACTGCAGGTATTATGGGAAAAGGTAGTATTTCAATGAGACTTAAAGCTCATATTCTGGCTATTTCTGTTCATTAAAGAATCAAGACCCTTTTCACAACTAGTCTGAAGTATTTTCTCTTCTTCTAGGGACAAATACCTTTATATATTTCCCAATATCTTGCAATATTTCAGCCCTGAGACTGTAACAGAGTGAGATGTTTTCTGTTGATCACTCAGTTGTATAAGAGAAATAATGATTTTCTTTATGTCTGGTGGCACTTGTATATAAATGCAGCACAGACACTCCATCTGGAAATCCCAGCTCTTAAAAGCACTCCACAACACACGGAGATGATACATGTCACTGCATAGCTGCTGTTTTGCTTCCTCATGGGGTAACCACAGTTCTTTAGCAAGTTAAAGCAGTAGCTTATGCAATCAGATATGAAAATGTAGCAATCCCTTTGGATATGGGGATGCTGCTTAAATATGTATGTCTATAAATTACATCTGCACACATTCTCAACAGGGCTCAATATTTTTGCATCTTAATTTTATTTTAAAGGAAGGCTCACTTGCTAATCTCTTAAGGACTCACTGTCCTTGACAACCCAGTAGCTGTGAACTTTAGTACATACTGTGTGGCCAGTATACTACCTAGGAAAGAGCAAGTATTTGTGGTGGAGGTAGCTCAGGCTGAAATACCACCTGTAGGTCTGAAAACCAAATGAACTAAGATTTATGATGACTTTTTCCAGACCCCTGAGAAATTTAAGGCCCTCCATTACATTTTTCAAATCAACAGGGAGTTTAAATCTCTTTGAAAGATAGAGGGACATAGATCTTCAAGTGTTTACAGGTGTGGAAAGTTTAAGAACAGTTGCAGTCCCTGAGCGTATGCGAACAAGCACAACATCCCACAATCAGAGCTCACCCATAACTATTTGCCATCACTCAACAGACAAGCATAGTTTCTTAAATTACAGTAACACAATTGCCTGTGATGGTCTGTCCTTACTCTGTATTTGTTTTGAAATTATACTCCCTTGTCATTATTGCCTTTCATTTCATTTGCTGGAATACCATCAGTCATTCTCTGCAGTGACTTTACCTGTGAAAATTGATAATACATAGTGATACCCCACATGCAGTTGTGCTCATTATGGGGTAATCAAAACGCATGAAAACACGGAGAGTTGAATGCCAACCTTATTCACAAAGCATCTTCGGGCAATGACTTTCTTCAGAGTTTTAAAGTGAGTGGGAGCTAGGTGCCTCCAACCCAGCCTTGTGAAAAGGCTGCTAGTCATCAGTAGTATACGTTGTAACTACTGAAAATAGCCTGGAGAAGCTTTGCTGGTATCACTTGTTCTTTTTAGTAATCCAGGGCTACAAGCAAATGATGTCTGAAACTTGTTCCCAAGTGTTTCTGTAAGGACAAGATAAAATCATTTTGATACGTCTAATTACTGATTCTTTGTGCATGTTTGTTTGCTTGTTTGAGCAGAAAAAAGTCACATTAAACACTTTCTTGGACACTCTCATGTCTGATCCCCCGCCACAGTGTCTAGTGTGGTTACCACTTCTGCATCGACTAGCAAATGTTGAAAATGGTAAGTAAGAGCTGCTGCCAAAAATAGTCAAAAGAGTAAACTTTTGTGTGATGATTTTCTCACTCTGTAGATGGTTTTGTAGGAGCTACTGTACTGGGTTTGTTGACTCTATGTGTTATTTTTACAGTCACTGGTAAAATATTTCAAGAATCTTGTTGGTCCTCCAGCCAGGAATGTGGCTTAATTTTTGCTATGCTCAGAAAATTATTGTGATCATGTCCTCTCCTCCTGTGCTCTAGATAAGCAAAGAGCAATAGAACTTGATCCAGTCACACACTTACATTTGGTAAACTGTCAAGGCCAGAACTTTTATTAGCTATGACATCTGGCAGCAGAGAAGGAACAGCTTGGCAGTTTCCGTTCATGCATAAGTCTTGGCAAGAGATGTCCAGTGCAGTGCAAAATACCAGCCAAAGGTCCTTATGAAGGATCTCCTCCTAAGCCTACACTACCAGACAATATACTCTGAAAAGGTGCAAGGAAGTTCCAGATTTGTCCTTATCCTTTGCTTAAGGATTTAACTGTGAGGTGACTCTTTCTCCTCAAGGGTTGTCTTTCCCCAAAATGTGTAGATCACAGATATTTAGGCAGGAAGGGACCATGAAGATAACTCATTTAATTATTGCACACTGCATGTTGCATCGCCCTGGACAGTAACATCTTCCTCAGCCTTACAACTTCTTGAGTATCTGGGAAAAAGTTCGTGGACTCACGTGTAGTCCTCCAGCCAAAGCCTTCATATACTGTTTCTGCAGAAGGTGCTGCCACACTGAAAGTGTAGGGGCAGAGCTAGAAAGCCTGTGCATCTCATCTCACTGTGTGCATCACGAAATTGTAGCCTACAAACTCTGTACAGTTCCTCATGTAGTTCTGGAGGAGTTCCCCAGCTCCAAAGCAGCCTGCTTCTGCTGTCCACATGGACCAGCACTGCCTATATTAAATAGGAAAAAAAAGACAAGAAATGCGTTTTTACTGTCTTGTTTAGCTGGGTATACTTGTTCCCAGTGTGGCATACAAAAATGTTAAAACATTAATTTAGCAAGAGAAATAGATTTTTTTAAAACAGTTTTCCAGCCCAGTATTTTGCCTCAGAGCTTGTTGTGTAAGGGGCTTGTTGAATATATGTTGCTCCCTTGAAGGTTTACCTCCAGCGTAACTGAAGCTTTGGGATGCTGCAGGAAAAAAGAAATAGGGGGGTAGGGGAGGGGCAGGAGGAAGAAAAGATCATGTATACTCGTCCTGTTGAGGAATAAAAACATTTATACCATATTTCCAACAAGAAAACATGGCTGGAGAAAGGCGGGGAGGGCCAGGGGTGCAGCCATTTTTTGGTGATAAGAGGAGAAGGAGGAAGTTGTATGTGGTCCTGTACTAAGTCAATCCCTCTTCCACTGAAAGGCACCAAGGAGGATAAGGTGATGTTCTCAAGTCCTTCTTGGCTACAGAGCCACCTATCTACCCCACCTTCTCCAAGCTGTTGTCATCCATCCCTGTCCTTCACCAGCTTCACACTGTTTCCCAGCCTAGAGCACTAACCTTTCGTGCTGTGAAATTCTGGCAAGGAATTAAAACCTTGACACACTCAGCACTGATCCAAATCCTCCTAGACTGAACCTTCTGATAGAAGAGCAGAAGGTGTCAGGGAACAAGGAGATGTTCAGTACCCTGTGGTAAACTGGGTACATGCTGTAGCGAGGAGAGAGGAACAGAAATAGCAGTATTGCCAGGAAGGGGCTTCAGAATGTCGTGATTGGTGCCTTAACGTGCTCAGTGGCTTACATCCTCATTACTATCTGCTTCTGGGTGGAACAGAGAACAGGACCACACAGGTCTCTTCAGTGGCCAGCTTTCCAAATCTGGGCATCCAGAGCTAAGTGTTCGACTCCATATATAGATACCTAAATGACGCCAGTTGTACAGATGAGACAGCAGTAATTAAGAGACAACGACATGCCTAAGTACATTTTTGTGCTTCCAGTAATCAGACAGCTGAGTTTGACTTTTCCTCCGAGGCACATCCTTTAGCTCCTCAGAGCACAGCAAAACGTTCAGCTTCCCCCAGCAATGCAGCTGAAGGGTGCAGTGGATTTTCTCACGCAGGAATTTCCTCTATCATGTATTCTGTTAGGCACTGAACACATTTTTCGCTGCTGCGACCAGGAAGTGCAGGCATCAGCTCAGAAGCGATGAAGGGTTTGGTACCCAGTGTAGGAAGCATTGCCCGTGGCTTGGCACAGGTTGCTGGGTGGCTACTTGAGTTTTCATGGGTCAAAGCTACAGGCAGCATCTGACACTGCAGATCGCTAGAAACACAGAAGGGGTTCACCTTTCAGTTTGGGGCTTTGTCTGTAAACTTTTGCTGGGGGTTTCTCTGCTTTGGTTTACAGCTCAGCGTTTCTCTCTCCTGCGCAGTCTTCCACCCCGTTGAGTGTTCCTACTGCCACAGCGAGAGCATGATGGGGTTTCGCTACCGCTGCCAGCAGTGTCACAATTACCAGCTCTGTCAGGACTGCTTCTGGAGGGGCCATGCCAGCGGTTCCCACAGCAACCAGCACCAAATGAAAGAGTACACGTCATGGGTAAGGGAAGGCTCGCGACTCACTGCAGACCGCTTTGCCCTCCAGCCGGCAGAGAAGCCCCCAGCCACAGCTCTGGGCAGCCATCTGGCACGGGAAGGCCTGGAGCCGGGCTGCTGGTTCGGATTGGTGACCCTGTCAGGAAGGCTCCAGCCTTGGGAGCCGTCGGGAGAGCACGGAGGTGGGAATGGTCTTTTCTGGGTGAGGATCTGGGGCACCTGTGACGGTGCGTGCGGTGGGGAGGGCAGTGCAGGAGGGGCTGGCAGCAGGGCACCGGGCTCACAGCAGCTCCTCCGGTTCCCTCAGGACTCAGGGTAAAATCGTCATTGGCTTGCTCTGTTTGGCTACGTGTAAATGAAATGATGAATACTTAACGCTCAGTCATCAATATTTTCAGTTGAGTGGCTGCAGCATATGCGTAGTGTTTGGGATGGTCCTGGCACTCTATGTTTGAACGTGGTCACAGGCTTAGATTCACCGTAGTGTTTTCTGTAGAGAAAAACACACTTTGATCTTTTTCTTGTTAAACAAAATAATTCCATGCTTTTTCTAAGCTGGAAGAGAAGTATCAACAGGTACATGAACCTTCTCTAAAGGGCATGAGACCTGGGGGCTAAGCTCTTGGAGCAAAACCCCAACAGAAGCCCTGGGTCACGGAGCATCCCCATCCTGCAGTGTTCAAATCCAGAGACCAGCAGAAAAGTCCTAACTAATCTCAAATATTACAAAATCATATATAGTATAAAAAAAGTAAAATTATGCATATAGCAGTGGCGCATGTTTGAACAGCACTTTGTGTGTATTTTTTAACAAAGTTCTGAAACTTACCACTTTGTAAATGTCTATTTTCTGTTGATGGAGCAGGCAAGGGTTAAATTTGACGTGGTTTGCTCTGTATGCCAGTCACACAGCCCTGTGCTGCCTCCCGGCAGATCTGGGTCTGTAATTGTTTTTGTGGGTCCTAATTGCTGCTTGTTGCATAGACACGAATGGCTTGAGTTTAGTCTCTGAATAGGAGAGTGCCCACTACATAGCTCTGACTCCATTCCTAATAGCAATTTGTGCTATAAAATCTTTTTTTGCTGTAGCTGAGGAGCTGTAATTATAGGTAGGAAGTAACTGGAAAACTCAGGATTTCTCCTCAGCAGAAGGCAAAACGTGACTACATGCTTAGTGGTTTCAAATGTTTCCTTGTCAGAAACAAATGTTTTGCTTCGAGTTTGAAATTGCCTTTCTGTAGCCTTCGTTAGCATTGTTGTTCAAACCTGGTTAGCGTTCTCCATAATGCATCCGTATCGCGCTCCACGTGCAGATTAAAGGTGTTCATGAGTGCAGTGGAACTCAACTGTTCTCAATTCAGAGTGAAATTGCATTTATAACGAAAGAGAAAAAGCCTGAATTTTACATATTTAGATTGACTTTCTGTAGTAGAAATATTTCATTATTATCTTGGTTGCAGCTGTAAGTCAATGCAGGATGGTGCACAACTACAATATCGCTCTCGTGAAGTTCCAGAAAGATTTTTGGATTTCAGCATGTAGAGCTGTGTTTCAGGGGGAGCAGACAGTGTAAGGATCACTACCCCTGTTTTACTGGCAGAGAAGCTGAATCACAGAGAGATGGGTTGGATTCCCTGAGAATCTCTCACAGAGCCTAAAAGATACCTTAGATCTCTGAGCACTTCTTTAGAAAAGCGTTCAACTGCAAAGAGTGTCCAAAGAAAAGTAGAAAGCAGAAAATATTGATCTTTTTTTTAGATTCACTGATGGGATTTCAGAGTGAAAAGCATGCTTCTTGTGCAGAGCCTCCCCATCTTTGGTGACAGTGACAGTACATCAGTCTCTTCTGGCGTGCTGTTGCCATGGTGGGGCAATTCCTGCCATGCGTGTCTGAAATTTCCCATTCCCCAATGTGGCAAGGGCTTCAGTGGCCACAGGAGGTGGAAGAGGAGTTTTCTAAAAGCAGCTAAACTGTACAGGGTGCTGGAGCTGAGGATGGAAGTACTAGCGAGGAGAAAGAATATAGGAGCCTTGTGCCTGGCCCACAACTTAGGAAGGAAACGGTGTCCCATACGTTGTATCTATATGGACAGGCACACGCAGATTTGTTCCACTTGCACTCCGAGCTGGTGAGGTGCGAGCCAGCTGCAGCCCAGGCGACGCTAACTTTGTGCTGTGCTTCATTCAATACTACCTGAGAGCAGCATTGCAATGAAGCCGTGGCAACTGCATCTGTCCATATAGATATACCCTGGCATCTGCATCTGTCCGTATAGATATATCCCCCCGAGCCTACTCCAAAGGCCCCTGAAGGTAAGAGTAATCTTTCCTCCAAACTGAGCAGTCTTTGCCTTACCAGACTCTCGGGGTGGGAGGGGGGCGAGGGGGATGTCAGTGTGCGTACACATAAGCCGTAGAGCTTCCTGTTGTTTTGTGCTTCCTATAGCAGAAACAGTGTGCACCTTACTTGTCCAGATTACCTCTTCCTTCCTTGTTCCTCCCAGAAATCACCTGCTAAGAAGCTAACTAATGCACTTAGCAAGTCTTTAAGCTGTGCTTCCAGCCGTGAACCTTTGCACCCAATGTTCCCTGACCAGCCTGAAAAACCTCTAAACCTGGCTCATATTGTGTAAGTATCTGTGTGCTGTAGAGAAAGTAAGCTTTGTTGTAGGAGTTGCTTACACCAAGTGTAGATACTACATCTCTGAACAAAACAAGAGGCAGCTGTGGCGTATCAAGCTCAATGCATCACAAGTGCAAATTCACTGATTGGAGTATTGAGTATTAAAATGTTCGCCTGGTGTGACTTTACTTGAAAAGTCAGTGGGATATGTACACATAACCAAATACAGGGCCACAATGTTGTTACGTCCTCATTCTCCCCAAGAGATAGCCATGCAATTTTACAGAGTTTCAGCACTTTGGGATGTATTCATGCTGAGAACATTAGTTTTGTCATCCAGAGACTCTCAGCTTCAGTGTATCACAAGTATGTCTTGACATGAGGCACCAAAGAAAAGTGAAGTCCTACCAATTTTGTTGTCAGTGTCAGAGTTCTCACTGACTTTAGTGGAGCTGTGGCTTCACACAGCCCTGAAGACTAGCTACGTGATTCTGCATAAGAGTTGTGTCTTTAGTTGCCAAATCACTTGAAAAGGGTCTATTTTCTTTAGATTTTCATATCTTGGGAGAGCAAAATTATTTTTTGATATAGTAGCTTTTGTCACTACTTTTTTTCTGCAGGAATCAAGAAACTCAAAGCAAGGAGAAAATGTACTTGTGCAGGGTGGGGAAATCATCAGTTTGGATTTTTTCGTCTAATGCATGTCCACTGTCCATAGTGGCAGTTGCTCAGATTTTCTCATTTATCAGTTTGTTTTACCTTTGCTTCCACAGTCTGTAAAAAAAAAAAAAAAGTTGTTAAATTTTCCAGAAAAAATCAGGACACTGGTTGGAAGAAAGTTACAAAGAAATTATCATGGAAAAATCATTCCAAAGATACTGTCTTTAAAGTATTTCTCTTGTTCTGATATATGTCTGAAGAAAATCTCTTTCTTAACCGCCTTCCCGTTACTTCCCAGTATTTGCATGCTCCATATCTGTGTTACTGGCTGCTGGAACTATTCCATTCTGTAATTATTATACATATTTACTTTTGTCCATACTGAATGTTTGTATGTAGCATCTTTAAGGGCAAGTTTATGCTGGCCAGTGTGGGCTGTGTGGCACCTGGAAAGTTCATCTAACCTATCTGACGTTTTAAGAATAAATTGTGCTGATGGTCCTCCTCCTGTGGTTACGGCGAAACTTCATGCCAAGGCATGAAAGAGTGCTCTGCGCTTCAGACATGAGGTGCCTCTGACAGATACATAGCGCCAAATCCCTCTTACACTCGACTGTCAGTTAAAACCCCTGCAACTCTTTATGGAGTTGTAGTGGGAAGATGTTGTTCCTTGGAAGAAATCTTCCGGAGATGGTTCTGCTGAACTACCCCAGTTGATACCCAGCTGTGCATGGTATAAAAGCCTGGCTCTGCTGGCGAATCAAGGATAGTTTCACTGGGCAGGTTGTGGCCATCCTTAAGAGAAATTAAAAGAGAGAGAGCATGAAATTGAAAGAGAAGTTTCTGTTCCATATTGGCTGGAGGCCTTCAAAGGCCTAGGGGTATGTCAGAAGATAACGGGTAGTGAAAACTGGTCTACTGGGAATGGATGAAATGCATTTAGGCAAGGCAAGGGGAAGGTACAATAATTGAGCAGGATCTGTTCCAAATCTTTGCTGTGAAATTAACACCTACCCTTCTTCCTAACTATACAGACATAATTTAGACTGATTGGGTGTGAGAACTAGCTATTTTGTTTTATGATAGAGTTTCTCTTTATTCATAGATGGAAGGCAATATAACTTGGCAATGTACATTGGCTATAATAATACATGAGTGAAGAGCCTGTAAGTTGTGGAGGTAGCATGATCTACAGCATAATTCACATAAATTAGCTGAGGGGAGAGATACGCTACAGTACCTCATTGAGAATATCTTCTCACTGATGTGATTTTTATTTTTAAACATAATGGAAGTTGAGAGAAACAGCTCTGGGAAGGAATCCAGGCAAAAAGTGTTTTATATGTGCATTAAATGGAAGAACTTTGGCAACAAAACAGTATCCTTTTCTTAGCTTCCAGCTTAAATGGGGACAAGCACTCTCTGCATTACTGTATAGCCTTTCCTTTTCATCATTATTCCACCTTTGAGTGGTACCAGACAAAAAGACTGCATGGGTTTTTTGTTTTACTGGTGCCACTCGAAATTTTCAATTAAGCCAAAAATGCATCTAAGGCTCATCTAGAGAAGTAGTTACCAAGGTGTCATTAACTTGATGGAGGAAGTCCCCCCACCAGTGGAGCGGTCATTTTTCCTTTATATGCATAAGATTGGCAACAACAAAAAAAACCACCAGACTGCAGAGATGACAAATGTCATGGTCAGTGCATCATGGAGGGATTTTTCAAATGCATTCTGCGCTGGACTGACTTCATTTCCATCTAAGCCTGTGGGAGCATTATTTTTGACATTAGTGTCAAGAGGTTAGACCAGCGTGGAGCACTTTGGAAAATTCCTCTTATTTAATCTGGTTTGTTACTGTGAGTATGTTGTGCCATAACATGCATTTATTACGTAGCGTATTTCAAGAGTATTTCCTCCTCTGCCTCCTTGAGGAAAGTTGACTATCATCAGCTCAGTTTTATCAGAGAACTTAATCGCTCACTTCCAGAAGTTTAGAATTAACCTCAGAAAGATATACATTTATAGTCAATAGCTGAGCTTTCCTTTGCTTTACCATAAAGTCTGCTGTTCTTGTCTTATCGCATCACACAACTGTCTATGTATGTTTGCACATCTGTTTGATATTCAAGCTGAACCTGAGGAATGTGACAGTGGGCATCAGCCTTTAAGAAACTTACCTTGGGAAAGCTCAGATTAGTGTAATATAGTTTTCTTCATATAAGAATTGACAAAGTAATGCTAATCACAAAACCTTAGCAAAGCCTTGGAGTTTGTAGACATTTGTACACAAGAGTAACTCTGCATACGTAAACAGATCAATGACCTTTTATGAGGCTCTCAGCTTATTGTAGAATCAGGGTTGTAAGAATGGAGTATGTCCAATGCACTACTTAGAATGACATACATATTAAACTGATAATTTAATTAATGATCTCTTTTCCATTTCATTTTGGCTGCAAAAGAGATACTTGGTGAGTAATTTTCTTCTTTAGTACACTTCTTGGACGAAGAAGCTTGGAAAAAATGTGATAATCTCATTATTACCAATCCTTAAATTTTTATCAGAGTCCAGAAGCAAATAAATAATTGTCTTTGAATATAGAGACAGTGAAAGGGAAGAGCTCTTCTAGGGGTTAGAAACTTTCCCTTCCACCCTTATGTTGAGATAAAGCTTAGAGAAGACGTGAACCTGATGTGTGTAAGTGGTGATCTGAAGTCCATGGATGCCAGATTCCCATTTCCTACTCAGTAAGAAGAGGTGGATTGGGTGCAAAGCAAAGCCCAAGCTCTGCCAAGGGCGCACTCCTCCTGCCTCCTTCCCTGGGACAGCGCTGGAGTCCAGCTTCTCCTCCCTTCTCTGCTGTTTGGGACTCCACGGCCCAGGGTTAGACCCATCTTTCAGAAACCCTGACTTGTGCCGGGTTAGTTTTTGAATGTGTTCACTGACCAATGTGCATTGAGAAAAGGAAAAACACAGCAGGTGCAGGTAGTTGGTGTGAACTATTTCTCCTACATCAATTACCAGCTTACAGTTCCCAAGCAGCAAAATACCAGTTGCTTACCCATTAAATAAAATTAGTTTCTAAGTATTCTCTCAAAGTTTATTTTCAAATCTCTGTCTTTCAAGACTCATACCACAATGACCTTTCCAGTGGATTGGCTCTGATCATGGCCTCATCCAAGCTCTTCCTAGCTCTGATGAAGGAGTCCATGAAAGATAATATTAAACACTTCTCCATAAGTATATAGAGCACAAAGTGCTGCTTCTCAAATTCATGACTGACCAGAACTGGAGTTTTTCATGTGGGTCTGCAGATGCAGGGTTAGGTTAGAACTGTATTTTCATATAAATAAATAACATGCCAAATCCTACATCTTTCTAGTCCCAATTTTAAACTTCTGAAAATCAGTGTGGCATTTCATGCCGAGAAATCCATTTGGACTTGTCAAAGACCACCTTTATGCTTGTTTTCTAACAGGTACAAAATAAGAAAGAAAAGAGCTAGTAATAGTTCACTTCTGTGCAGAACTGGCTTTCTTCATTTCTTACAAATGGTTTGGATGACCAGTTGTCTTACACAATTGGAGCCCAGTGAATATTTTGCAGATGGCTTCTACATTTTGATTTGCACATTTGCAGAATTCAGAGAGACAGATCTTTCATGGAGCTTAAAGGGGATATTAAGCAACTTGAAATTTAGGCAATTTGAAGTCTGAATTATATATGACTTCAGGTTCTGCTCATACCTGATTGAAAACTTTGTGATTTTAATAACATGTTTTTTAGATTTTCCAGAGTGTCTATATCTTTTGCCCATTGTTGCATAAGAAGTCCATTAAGAAGGGGAAATTTCTCCTTAATGGATACAGAAGAAAAAATTATGCACAAAGTTTTTTTTAAGAGTAGACAATAAAAGAAAGCAGAGGAAATATTCCTTCTCATTTTATTTTTAATAAGAGCAGGAAATAAAGAATGTAATAATAAAACTATCATTATTATGGGTCCTCTTAAACTAGATACCTATTTTAAATTTTGATTTGGGGGTTTGATATACCAGTTGAAAAGCTTTGCAGTTAAACTAGTTTGGTTCTACATGTATTTTATGGGATACTGAGGACTATGGGTGCACTGTGGTCGCTGTGTGGACATGGTAGGATGGAGCTTAGCGCCAGGGTTAACCTCATGAAAAGATTTGTAATTTATTTGTGGTTACCCCCTGCAGACCTCCATGCTGCCACAGGGAACCTGCTACCAGCGCTCAGCCTAGCTGTTTGAAAGCAGTGACTGCACCATGAGTTACAGGCTCTGGAAAGGAAAAATGGCATAGTGGTTATTTTGCCAAAGCAGATTAAAAGTCAAGCAAGTTGCTTAAAACTTCTGCTTAAAAACACAGCATCTTTTATTTAGAACTGTTGCTACTTAAAGCAAAAGATTCCAGTAGTAATGTTACTTTAAACAAGAAGCTTATTTAATTATCTGTAAATACTGTTTCTGATAAGTTTTCTTTTGTGCAAAATTAATACAAATGGGTATTTTGCCTTCCTCTAGGCCCCCCCGACCTGTAACCAGCATGAACGACACACTCTTCTCCCACTCTGTTCCCTCAGGAAGTCCTTTTGCAAACAGAAGGTGAGTTCTTACTCTAATTTAAGGCAAACCACTATATGAGGGTGATGGAGGTTTCAATTTTCAATTCCCTGCCCAGGAAAAAAAAACAAAACACATGAACAAAATCAAAATAAAATTAACAGACGTGAGCAGAAAGTGCGTGCCTTGGTTAATTTGGACTGATACCAAGTTATCTAGATGGAGAGCTGGCATTAGGACACCCCAAACTCCTCAAGACAGAGCACAGAACTTCGGTTCTCATCTGAACCATTATGTCCCACTAACCGTGCTCCGATGCAACCTTGGCACCCTCCCATAGGGGCTGAAAATGGGCTGTTGGTGTGAAGCCATTTTGTAGCAGCACTGTGTAAATAGAAACTGGGATGTGCCACTGCCTACTAGGAATGCCTGCATCGTACTGCAAAATACGATGGGAACAAGAGAAAATGTGTTCATACTTGCAAGATATAGCAAGACATCCTTACTCCTGTCAAACCGTTCAGATTTTCATTAAAGGCTACAAAACAGAAGGAGTAGTCTTGGCATATGGTGACCCTTCAGCAAACAAACCAGAGAAGAGTGGTCAGAAACATTGATCCCAAAGAAAAGGTGCTTGCACAGCTGAGTACAGCCAAAATGTGTGTAGCATTTGCTATCTGTTTCACCCAATCCGTGTAAGCTTACCACTGCACATAGATGAGAAGGTGGCAGAAAAATAACTTCCTGCTGTGTATGGGAAGACGAGTGATGTGTCTTCCTTGGGTGTGTTTTATTGCTTGTTTCCTGCTGTACATACCAGTGCTTCAGCGTTCCCAAATAACCAAACGCAATCTCTGGGTATGCATGCCTACATTTTTTAACACCAAAACCGAACCCGCACTGTACCACTCTGCAATGTCAGAGTAAAAATAGTTTACTACTACTTTGACTTATGAACTTTGTTACCAGGAGCTACACACTGGACGCTCTCAGTGTTAGTGGAAGTAGCTGTTGGGTGTGACTGAGATGCTTTTTGAAAGCCATTCCCAAAGCAGCCCCCAAGACCAGTTCTGCCTATACAGACAGTGAGACTGCAAATGCAAATTCATTTCTGTTGTTGAAGTATAATGGGATTTTATGTGCCAGGGCAAGGGAGGGTAATAATCTATTTGTGGCCTCTCCAGAACAGGCCATTAAGAGCAGTGCTCTTTAAGAGTGTAGGTGTTGCTTCTGTGCAAGAAGTCCCTGTGCTCATTCAACAAAAGCATGCATTGCTGTTTAGGCTGCAGACCTGCAATAATAATCGCGGCACTATCTACTGTGCTGCTTGTTTTTCTTTACATATAAAAAATTCCTGATTATTTTACTTTCATGTTCTTTAGTAATTCAGCTGACTGTTTTTAACTATCAGGACTAAACATACATGATTCCTGAGCCATTAGAATTCCTTTTCTCCTAGAGGAAGAACTCCTTGATGGAGAGTCCCCTGAAGGCAGGATACAATAAAACCCCCAACCATAGGTACCCAGACTTCCTTATACAGCAAAAAGTTTCCATATAGCAGTCAGTTCTGACTTTTTTAGAGTTAACAGTACCCTGATATGTAAAGGAATTACATTGTGTGTATATTAAAAGTTTTGTAACTTTTGTTTCATTGACCTTGCAGGATTTTAAGTGTTTGACAGCTTATTCTCATTATTTTTATTTTTCTCTCATAAATTTAATTTGCATCTTCTTTATCCAAAAGAAAAATCACCCTACAAACTGTCAAGTCAGTATCCTTTTTAAATGGTTGCAAATTGCATGTATTGTAATGAACCCACTCTAAACACACTGCTCTCTGTGTATGCTTTTGAGGGTATTAACAAGGTTTCGTTGTTTGAATCATTCAGGTTACTTGGGGGTATAAATGCAGCCAGTCCTGTGGCTGATGAGCATTCTCTTATAAAGCTGTATGTAAATCAGCTTCACAACAACTCACGGTCAGTATGAGAGCACTAACCCACTAATCGCCTTAGTTCTGTAGCTCGTGCACTAAATCATTAGTGATTCTGCTAAACTACTAAAAATATTCTTTAAGGAAGGCTTTGGTGAGCTTAGAGGGTTTCTGTGGCTCTAATTAGTCTTTTGAATAGACTTCCTGCTGGCTGCGGGCTTTGCCAACTTCTCTTGCTTCTGCGCAGCACAAATCTTTCATCTTACCCTTTCACGTAGGATTAATATTAATGTGTCTAGTGGAAGTTGGAAACATTGGTTTTGAAAACCAAAAAAACTACACCTTTATGGTCTCATTGTCAGTGTATGACTTACCTGAGGCATTCTTGACCAAGGAATGAAAGAGGCTCACACGAGAGTCTGGAAAGGACTCCAGATCTCACAGCCAGCCTCCTCTTCCTCTTCCACAGCTCTCGCTGCTGGTGGTTACTGTTCTGCAGTTAACACCACTTGCCAGTAAGCTTCCCCGGACCCTTTTGATTTGCTTTGCAATACGGCCACAGAAAAGGTGGATCTAAATCCTACTGAAGCTAGTGCAGACTTCCCATTTATGTAGTGAGCGTTGGATTTGGACTGATGCCTCCGGTTGCTGCACCCTTTCAGCATTCCCTGTCATCTTAGTGACCTAAAGAAAGAGCCTATTTCATTCTGTAAAAGAAATACACAGTTGGATAAGAACAGTTTCCCCCTTTTTTTTCACCATGGAATATAATGACCGTTCTTTTTTTCTTTTTCGATTAGTCTGTGAGCATTAGCTATAATTCAGTAAGAAAGTACTAAGACCAAGATACCTTGCTGCTAAATGCCAAGTTCTTCAATCTGTATTAAACTCATAACAGTATCTTCATTCATTCTTTTAGGTTTTACTATTATTATTACCCTGGGAAAATCAGGCGTCATTAGTGGAAGCTCATCCTCTCATACATCAGAGAAACAGACTTTGACAGCTCTGTTTGTAATTGTGCTGATTTTATATTAAATGCTCCATGATTCATATTATAATAAAAATTGTACAAACTCAGGGCAAAATTTCTAGCGGAATGTAATCTATGCTAAAAGCTCGGCTGGCTGTGTTTTCACTGCAGACAACTTCTGGTTACTTTAATTTGTGTTGCAATCTAGTCCAGAGATTTCAGGTAGCTTTAAAGAAAGTTTTTATGTAATTAGAATGTTTATGCAAAGAAAAATTGGCATAGACTGTCATTTTTGGCATTCCCATGGTATTTATTTCAGCTGACTGTGCTCACGTGAGAACATAACCGTTCACAACCAGTTTCTCCCTGTAGCAGGAAATGCTGAATTCAGCACACCGAGTCATTCTGCTGCTGGAAGTGGATGTGATATCTTATGTTCAACACAGTACTGTCTTAATTTCTGGATTCATGGGTAAAAAAAGGGGAATGAACCGAGGAGAAGAATAATCTCACTAGAGAAAAGATCTTTGATAACTAGTGAATACAATGACAAATTGTAGGGAACAGCTGAAAGGAGAATAAACATTATATCCCTGGAAGTGCTCAAGGCCAGATTAGATAAGGCTTTGAGCAACCTGATCTAGTGGAAGGTGTCCCTGCCCATGGCAGGGGGGTTGGAACTAGATGATCTCTAAGGTCCCTTCCAACCCAAACCATTCTAGGATTCTATGTTCTTTGCAGTTTAATTGCATTTGAAGCACCTATTTGGGGTGGATATGCAATTATTCCAAAGCTCAGAGGTTGAGTTCAGGCTTTCCCTCAGGTGCTTCTTAGTTTCGTCAAGCCACTTCAGAATCTAAATCCCTTTAAAATTTCTCTGCTGGCTTTGCTTAGTTTGAGCCACCATGTCAATAAGAGAGCTTTCAGTTATAAACATCTTTCTTATAAGTATCTACAGCATGCAAATTGACTTCAACAATATGCTCTGTACATCTCAAGAACAACTTTAAAGCATTTATATTAGAAAAGAAGAAACAAGAAATCTCTGATCTTTTCCCAAATACCAAGTCACTATCATTTTCTTCGATGACAGCTAATATGTGATTAAAACCACAAGTCTTGTAGTTTTTTGCTATAGCTAATATTCAGGTTTTAATCGCACATTTGGTTTTGTGATCTCCTATCACCTAGAGGGCAGCAGAACAAGGGAATATTGCTGCAGAGTAGGTAATGTCCTTGCAAACCCAATGAATTGGATATGTTATGTCAAAACAGGTAATTTGAGCATTATAGAAACTTCTGTTCAGTCAAGAGGAATGATTCTATACCCTGAATTAATGTTTTCTTCCTTATTTGGATTCTTTTATTCCCCAGCTGCAGTCTGTCAGTGCTGCCTTAAAGTACATAGCTACCGTAGTAATGGATACAATCTCTTCCTCTTTCTTAATAAATGTCTTCTTTAAGCTATTGAACTATAGGGCTAAGGTGGGATAAGATGAAACAGAACTTTTTTCATACATTTTTCTCAGCCCCTCCCTTACAGCTAATACATTTAATTCTTCTGAAGGAGTAATACACTGGAATAAATGGAGTGATGCAGCACATTCTGATGAACTTGAAATTGCTTGGCAATTCTGTGGTAGATAGAAAGAATGCACTATGGTATCAAATGCCCTTAGCCAAGGAGAAATTGACTCTAATTTAATGCTGAGTCAGAGTAGCTGGTGCCTTTTTTGAACTCCACATAAAAGCTAAAAACAATTGGATATTCTACATGGGCATAGCGAGAGATTAGGCCAAATTTCTGGACAACAGCTAACTTTGGAGCGAAACATACTGGTTGCTGGTTGTCCATGTTTCTGTCTCTAGGGAGTGTGGTAGACTTGAACTGCATGTTGCCTTTGTATGTTGTTTTCAGAACAAGAGGAGAACCCTCCTTATTTCATCGGCAATATTTTACCTGCTAAAGGAAGGGTTTATATGCCTGATTGTTTAGTAGCCAGGTAGACACTAAAGAGCGTATAATAATATTCTTAGGTTTATATCTTTGTAGACATCTGCTCAGAGTTGGAAGTTTTGTCTCTTAATCGGGATGGGAAAACATCCTTTGGCATTTTACAAAATGTTCCATTTTAACAGGGATATATCTTTTAAATATATGTTCCAGTTGGTAAGACCCAGACAAGCTCACTATGGCCAAAACAATCTCTAAAGTATTAGGTGTATTTTGGGGAATATGTGGAGGATGTAGGAAGACGTAGAAGAACAAGAAGGAGAAAAGTCAGCCCTTCCAAATGAAGGAAGAAACAGGGACAAAGATCAAAGGGATTATACAAGAGACAGCCTAACCTTGGTATCCAAAGTACTGAAATTACAAAAGAATTAGTAAGCACCTGGAGGATCATAAACCAATGAGAAATAACCAGCATGGATTTGTCAAGAACAAATTATGTCAAATCAAACTAGTTTATTTCATTGACAGCATAACTGTTCCAGTGGGTAAAAAAGAAGCAGCAAATATGATGCAGGTTGACCTTGAAAGGACTTTTGACATAGTCCCAGATGACACAGAAGTACCCAAAGGAAATATGGACTAGGAGAAATTAGTGTAAGAGCAACATTGAAAATCAGTAATTACATGTTCAAAAGTTTGCTGTCATTCTAGGAGGAGGGCATATCAGATGGGATTTTTGAAGGCTATCCTAAGTCAGACATTGTGCACTATTTCTTATAATGACCTAACGAGAGCAACAGAGAGAGTGTATGCAATTTGTATATGGTACCAAGGTTGAAATAGTTATAGGAAGGAGTGCTTGGAGAGCAGTTTCTAAATTAAAAAATGAGCTCAGTTGCAATGGTTGTAATGGATGTCCAAATGATCTGAAATCAGTTAGAGGAAACTCAGTAATTATAAGTGAAAAGTGCTGTAGCAAGGAAGCAAATAATCAAATAAAAGATGGAGCGTAATTGGGTGGACAGAAATATTTTAACAGAGGACCTAGCAGTTGCAGTGAACCACAAACTAATTGAAGTCAGCAATACGATTGTTAGATTGCATCTGACCCTGGAATATCATGTGGAAAGCCATTAAAATTCATTCCCCGGAGGAGGAGACATCTTCCTGGAGGTTTGCACTCACTGCGGGGCAACAGCACAGGGACAAATATGCTAACCAGCATGACAGAGTCCAGAGGAGACACACAAACATCAGAAAAGCTTAAAAAACATAACTCATAAGAAGAGGTTGGAAGATACAAGTTTGTTTAGTCAACTAAGAGGGAAATGGACATTGGTAGACATGATATCAATTGCTCAGTGAGTAACATTTTCTTGCCTGTCCCTCCATCCTAACTATGTTGCTTCTGGAGCATGGGAGAGGAGAACTTACGGTTGGTAGAGGGGCATCACACTGCACCGTTAGAAAGAAAAGCACAAAATCTGCCCTGGGGTCTTTGGTCTCCCATTGTGGCAACATATTTGTCTTTACTTAGAAACTGAACTCTACGTTTTTGGCTAAAATGGCACACCCTGTACCCCTTGAATAATACATTTTCCTTTTGTAACTGGGAAGAAAACATGACAAAATACTTTCCTTCTAGATGGCATGGAGCATGCTTGTCTGCGTGGATATTACTTCTGTGGAAGCGCAACACAGATAAATAACATGCTGACAGGCACAGGAATGTGAAGCAAGCATTTTTTCTTACTGTGCAAGTACTGCATTTTATTCAGCTATCTTCCAGATTTATTATAAATGAATAGGACTTTGGTTCTTAGGACACCCATCAGTACCATCCTTTTCAGAACCCCGCTGCCAACCTTGACCTCACAAAAGAATGGGAGTGGCACGCGCCTCATCTTACTGAATTCCTTCTTCGTCCTAATATTAAAAGATTTTGATCTTCAGTCCATCAGAGCCACATCTGCCCAGATTTATAATGCATCACTTTTGTACATCATCTGCTTATGCACACACACACAGATGCACAGGTGCTTGCATTCTCACACACCTGTGTTTTGATCAAAGACATTTACAGCATCAGTAGCCAAACCAAAAAATAAAGGTGAAAAATTTTTAAAAAGAAGAAAGTAAAATATATTTTTGTTTTGCTTTGTTGTTTTTTCGAATCAAAAATGCTGCAGCATGAAAGAAAAACTAACATTTAAATATCTCCATTTTTAGCCAGCGTTAACTTAAGAAATTATTAACGTAGATATTTTAGCACAGGGAAAGATGCAGTTACTGCAATCCATTAAATAATTCAGTCAGGAAAAAGAAGTGAGTTTGATGAAATTTAAAAAAAAAAAATCAACAGAAGAACAGTACTTCTGAGGGTTAAATTGATGTATCCCCCATCATTGGATATAAATGAGCACATTTCCGTAGATTATTGACACTATCTAATGGCAAATGTGGAGAAAAGCAATTTAGTTGTTACAGTGAAGCTTTCCCAACTTGAAGCCTGTGTTTCAGAGTATGTTTACCTCAGACTCCACCTGGAAACTACATGAACCTTCAGCTTTCCGTTTGTGAGAGAAGCACATTTGGTTTGTCTGTTCTGTAGTGAAGACTTTAGAGTTTGCTTTTGGAGAACAGGAGGGAAAACTCTAATTCTTGACTTTGTATTTCCTGAAGTTTTCTAAAATTTCTTTAAAGCTTCTATTGCTATTCTTATTTAGTCCAGGGCGCTTGAATGAGTTTCTCCAAACTCTGTTCTGTAATTAATTTCAGACATCACTGTTTACCCTCTTCTTAGTTTTCCTGTCTTATTAACTAGCTCTCCTTCCAAGAATACTGAAGTAGAGCAGAGCAAACTGCTGGCTAGGGCTGTTCCAGCTTTCTTGAAAGGCAAAGGGTAAGTTAAAGAGAGAGTTATGTTCGTAGCTTGCACTAACACAGCTAAACCAAAACCTCTTCCTCTATTCCTCCTGCTTTTAATGTATTCTATAAACATCTTTCCTGAGAAAATTAGGATAACCAATTAACCCAGTAAGCTAAATCGGGCATGTTAAAATATTTTTATGTACACCTAGATGCGTGAGGTCTCGATCAGACACTTCCAAGCACATCCAACTTGTGATTTCAGTATGTTAATCATGTGTGTAACATATGTATTTTTAACATATATGTGCAATACGTAGTATATTAAGCCAAATAGTGCCAACCTCACCATCTGCTGTATTTTGAAATAAATGGTACTGTACAGCTCCAGTCCCTGGCCCAATCTGGCATGTCATGGATTTCCGAGGCTGGCTCTGTAATCGAGTGAAATTCTACTATTTTAAGCCATTAAATACTTAACGTATAAATTAGCATAATAACAAAATAATTTCTGTGCTTTTTTTTTTTCCTGAGAACACTTAAATATTCATTCCTAAATTCCCATTTCACAGTCTCACTTGCTCCTGCTTTCTCTGTTTATTTCCCTCTGTCTGTCCGGACCGCACCCTCTCTCCCCCGACCCCGTTTCAGGTTACAGTACAGCCTCGATGTTGCAGACAGGCTGGCCGATGAACATGTACTCATCGGGTTGTATGTCAACATGCTGCAGAGCAACCCCGCACGGTTAGTGCAGGTTTGGCACCTTTGGGGAACCCAGGAAAGGGACGTTGGTCGGCCAAATGCTCTCACTGTTTCCTCCTGGCTGCGAGTTGAAGCAGCTCTTTATGAGCGCTAACCTAAAGGGAATGCGTGTGAATACGGGGTATGTCCTCCCAAAGCTGGTGGATTGTGGCAATTGCTGTTGTTCTCTCTAGTGATGCTAAGTAGCAAGGTATTGCAAATAACCACTTAGTTAAGAATGTCTATACAAATTGATTCAGAACACCATGCTTTAGTCAGTGCAGGACTTGATGATGGTACAGAAATCTTCATACAACAAAGACTAACCAGTCCACGTTTTCAAGGTGTTAATTTTTGAGGCGATACATAATTTGTAGCTTCACCTTACCTTGAAAGTAAGGAATGGTAATAGCATGTAACTAATGATAATTATTTATCCATGGAAGGCACTGGAACATGTTACCCAGAGAAGTTGTGGATGTCCCACCTCTGGAAGTATTCAAGGCCAGGTTGGATGAGGCTTTGAGCAACCTGATCTAGGGGAAGGTGTCCCTGCCCATGGCAGGGGCGTTGGTACTAGATGATCTTTAAGGTCTCTTCCAACCCAAACCATTCTAGAATTCTATGATTCTGTAATAGTAATAGTAGAAATTTGCTTGCTAACCTAGTGAAGGAAGGAGTTCACTTCAATTTTTACATATGTCAAGCATTGTTTTAAATTGCCTGATCTCTGCATTGTTGGATATAAATTTGTCCTTATCTTTCACTCAGACTCAAGTATGAGAAGTTTGCAAATGGGTGTCTTGAATATAGTTCATTATTTCTGCTGGAGTGCATACAGAGCTTTGTCTACTAAACCCACTTGCTGTCCTAGCCCTTGTGGCATCACAACAGGCCACTCTGTGGAGGGGAAACGCTGGCTCAGGCTCGCCTCTCCAAATTTTTTGCAGCCCTGTACTATCAAGGTGGTGAGCAGTGTAGTATATGGCCCTGGAAAATGTGGCGCTGAACAGAAAACTGTACAGTATTTCTGTACTCATGAGGTTTCTTTTGTTCATAACAAATCATTCAGTTTCCCATACTGCTATTGCAGAATATTTCCCAAGTTAGCAGAAACCCTCCATTTACTCTTAAATGTAGAGAAGGCAATAAGCAACTTCATTTGGGAGGGTGAATGCAATGGTTCTCTGCAGTCTTACAAAATTCGCTTCTGTGTGAAGTTGAAGATGGGGGTAATTTGCCATGCCCAGTGGAAAAAACAGTCTGCTTTCATTGTTCTGGACCTGAGTCTGTAGCCCACTGGAATGTGCGCGTGGGGAAAGAAAAGGCAAACTAGTTTTCAGTGAGGAAAATGGAAACCATTTCTTCAAAACATAAATGTTTTGAAAGGGAATTTCATTCCTGGAGAAGCACCTCTAGGAAGCAGGCTTATTGAGTAATATTTGTGTCGTGGCTGTGAAAACAAGCTGTTGTGTGTAGACCAGTCATTGCCCATCTGTGACTGAGGACAGGAGTACGCTACCACTCAGTCTCATTTGATATGGAGAAGGAAATGTGGCCCTGCCTACCACAAGTGACTTACTTGATACAATTGTCGAAGAGGCGAGCGAAGAATGGACATGGTTTAGAGTAATATTTGCTCTAGGCTGGTGTGCTGGGTGTGACATTTTGTCTGTGATGCATTTAGCTTCAGTGAGGACCACCAGTTAGATCCCCTAGTGATTGCTTAGCCTCGTCTTTACCATCTCCATCCTCTAAATTGTATCCAGTATATTCCAACCTGTTCCTTCAAGCTTTTAAGCCAACTTCACCAAGTGCATTTGTATCCAGATATGCACATAGAAATTATGTGCCATAATATCCTTCAAATTTAATATTGAGGGATGAATGGAGAGTGACTGTAATGGCCTTAAATGTTTAAATAACTGATGCAGAGCGTAGTACATAACTGATTACTGACATAAAATCACTGCAGTCCCAGCATCCTCAACGAGAAACAACCATCTCAGTTATTTTTGTAAGATGCCAATTAGATTTTGACAGAAATGTAAGCGAGAGGGAGAGCAGCCTTAGCCATGCATCAAACCATGCTGCATTGCCATTTTCTGCTTTGCGGCAATGAGACTGGTAGTAGAGAAAGTGAATGGTTACATTTTGGTAAAGACAAGAAGAACAAACGAAACCTTGCCATCCTGAAGCTCCTGTGTGAAGCCAGTTTCCAGGAGAGGCCTCTGCTGCGTCTCACACAGCCTGGGGTGGCATCTTCAGGACCTGTGAACTCCTTCTGCCCATGCCCCGAAGGGGCTGGATGCAGTTTGCTCAAAACCCAGACAGCTGTGTTAGGATGATGCTGACCTCAAGTTATTTCACCCTGCAGCTTAACAAGATTTGGTAACCTGAGTAAAGCACGTAGTTAAGCGTGATCAGGTAGCTTCTGACTTAGGGGAGGCTGCAGCTAGCCAGCTCAGCTTAGGCAGTTGTGTCTGCCTGCAAAACACCACGGCTACATACCCATACGTGCCATCACGTATTTTCAAGTGCTACTGGCAGCCAAAGATGAAAAGAGGAATGATTGTAGCTGTGAGGAAAACCTACAGAAATACTTTGTGAGCACAATACATAAAATTATCTTAATAGCTATCTAGTAGCATTTCAAAACAAAATGAGGAAGTTGTTTTAGATATTGAGTCAGGCTAATCTATAGTAGCTAATGATTGATCCAGTAAAGCCCAGTATACCTTTTTTCTGTTTTAAATGTAGCTAGTATTTATATTTAGGGTTTTTTAAATTAATTTTCACTGCTTATCTTTATTTTTCATCTGCAGTTATTTGATACCGCAACTAGAAGTACAAGTTTTCCTTTCCATTCTTCACAGGCTAATAAGCTACTTGAGGTTTTTTAAGAATCCAGTACTCCAGGGCAAATTAAGAAACAAGAGAAAGACTTAATTCATTATTTATAGTAACTGTATGGATAGAAAAAGTATCCCTTAGCCAGATATTTTGGTTAGTTTAATCGTAAAGTGTGTTTTAGCATGTAAACCCAATACTTGATATTTAATTTAGTTCATCTTTAGTGTCTGGTTCTAAAAAAGAACTTTTCACTGCAAATGGTTTTCCTTTTTGCTCATATAAATTAGAGACATTACCTATTTAGAATATTAATTCCACATATTTCAGTCTTTTCAGGTGCAGAATAAAATGAGATAAAACATATTTTAAGTAGGAGGTTATTTTTGTTCCATAGAAAGTTACTTTCTGATTTTTTTATGTTATACTGTGTAATACTGTGGTGAGTCATATTCCTGTACTATAAAAGTGCCATGCTATTCTATGATATTTTTTAAAATGTTTATTAAGGAGGTGTGCACAACAACTAGCTCTAGCTAGGAAGGCTGGTCGAATCTTCCTTTGAGAAGAAAAATATTCAGAGACCCATTGATTACAGAGGAAATGTACAGACACTTGACTTCCTTGAACAGAGTTAATTTTTATGATTATACCCACATACCTGAGTGTTATTATCATTTTGTTGGTAAAATCTTGGTGATTCTGAAGTAAATGGCAAATTAACAATAGCAGAGGGTGCAGATGACATGCCTCAGTTCAAAGCACCTTAAAATCAGGGCAATTTCGAAAGTGTCACAGATAAACAATGCTCAGAATACATTTGGTGGGTTGCTGTTAGGACATTGTTATAAAGCCCTGAGGCTTAGAAAGGTACCCTTTAATTTGTCAGTATTTTCTGTAGTAAATTGTTTATTAAGTGAAGGTTTGTAGAATAAGACCATGTCATGAAGACCACACCGATACCTCTATTGCAAAAATTTCACGAGAGACTGGCATTTCTGAGACTTTTTTAACCAGTGGTGACATAATTTTAAAACCATCAGGGGACATCCGTATCACGTATTGCAGGGTGCCTACTGCCGAACAGGCTGATTTCACATATCTAAAGCCTGAGAAATAGCAAAGATCCTCCAGTGTTATGCCTTTGTTCACAGGGTATCATATTTTTCATCCTTTGCCTGCAGTTTTGAGATCCCTTTTTTACGGAACTCCTTTAGACCGTAGAATATTACACAGATCAAATAAAGCTTAAAAAGAAGTCCTGTTATAAAGGTTATAATATTGGATATTCACTCTACATCTGAATGATAATAATTCCACCAGACCAATTATTGGTAATAATTATAAAGTCATTGGATATTCACTCTACATCTGAATTATAATAATTCTACCAGACCAATTATTGGTAATAATTATAAAGTCTTTATAAAGAAATGATCACTAATGGAGAAGCAGTGTTACAGCGTTGTTTAACTTCTTTGGAAAAGCAGGATCAGCAGCAGGATATTTGTATGCAAAATGTTCAGAAAGGATGCCTGAATCATTCGCTTGAGGGTCTCAAATTCTGCACACATATTCATAATATTTTAAAGCTTGTGTGTATTTCACTGTATCATTGTCTGTGAAGTTGCTGAGGTAAAACAGAAGTGAGTTATGGCAAATAAGAACTCTGGGACATAAAAGTCTTGGCAGTCAAGGCTAATGCTGCTGTGCCTACCTCTGTGCTTAATGATCACATAGAATAGGTACATTCCAGAATTAAATTTATCTCAGACATTGAAATTTAATTTACCAAGCTTTGGGGCCAGTGATTTGTAGCATTCATAGACCAAATTTGGCACGCTGCTACATCTATTTTATGGCGTCCACCTACACATAAATATATATCAAAGACTTTAAATAGCAAGTAAGAATCAATAAGCTGCAGTAGCTTGGTTCTTTCAGTAACATCATTGTCTCAGGGGTTAACTCACATCTCAGAACTATGTTGCAGATTGTGTTATGCCAAGAAGTGGAACCATAATCCCTTATTTTTCCAGGATGGATAATATGATTGCACATTGCTGTAAAGGAGAATTGATGCTGAATGCTTGCTGTTTTCCCAGCCATCTGTTAGGATGTGATGTTTTAGTCATTATGGAAAAATTAAAAATTAATTACACTGTCATGAAAGTAACCCTTATTACCTGGTTTGCATAATTTTATGCCTCTGCAAGAGTTGCTTGCCCCTTTCTTTCTCTGAATGACATCTCAGGACAGTAAGCATGAGTATGTAAGAAGCAGAACTGTATAAATTTAGAAAAATACCTTTAGCTTGAGTCTTTTCAGAAAGTAAATCAGTTATCCCACAAGAATCTAAGTAAGAATAGAATTAAGCTATATATCTAACAAAATAAATTAAACATGACCAAACCCAAAAAGTCAGTGTTCATCTACCACCAGAAGTCTTATGTGCAGTCTGCTGCACGAGCTCAGCTTACACAAACCCTCTCTGGGTCTCACTTTTCATAGCTTTCCTGTTGTTCTAAACTTCATGTTTGTGGTCTCACAGGTTCTTGTCAGAATGCGAAAAAGATTATGTTTGTCTCTTTTCCCTTACCTCAGCAAGCCATAACAAATCCACATGACTCCCAGCTTTAGTTTAATGATCAATGAATATCAACCACTACTCATCTTTCAAACATACCTTCTAAATCCCAGTGGACTTAATCAAGCCAACCAGAAGATGTACATTGTTGTTCCCTGAGGTACCTGGGGATATGAACTCACTGAAAAAATTTGGAGAAATATTTCCTTTTCCTTTTAACGATGCTGATTCTTCAAAAGCAGAACTTTTCACACAAGTGCCATTTTCATCTGGAAGGCTTTTTCAAGTTCGAGAAATAGTTCTGGCAAAAATCAGAATAAGATGCCCATGCCTACAATAACCTTTGTTTTGTGCGCTCTTTTGAAATGTGGAGCTCATTCTCCAGCAACCAGTTGCACACCCTGAAGAGCCCATGGGCAGGGAGGCATGTGCCTGTCTCCCTTCTGCCAAAACACCAGCCGGTTGCCAAGGCACAAGAAAATAAGTCAGACTTACCTCTGACTGGGCTAGTCTGCAGGCTGTCTGGTATTCCACGCAGCAAAGCCTTCTCCTCACCGCTTCTTAGGGGCTTCATTTTTTTTCTCTTGTGTATACTAAAAGTAATGCAATATAGAATTCTAAGTCCAAGGATTACCCAGGGTCAGCAAAGTCCTCTTCATATTTCATTTTTTTGTCAGTTTATTAGTTTTGGTGGTTCTCTGCAAACTTCCTGATATTTAGAAATAGTAAAGGTTCTCACTATATTACCTTTTCCTGCTCATCTGACTAAATAATAGCCTCCATTTAAAATAAGGACAGCTGGCAAGGGATTAACCTGAGGGAAATATTTGCCTTTGATGTTGTTAGAAAAAAATAAAGTAATAAATTGCAGTATTTTAAAAGAATTCAGCATATTTGCAGTAAGTTCTTACACCTTCTGAGTAATTTTTATGGAGATTCTGTGCATGTGACCAAAACAGATGCTTTTCATAGTTGGTGCTAGTAGACTCCTGCATCCTGGCAGCAGAAGTTGGCTCCAGGTTAAAGTCAGTCCCAGTCTGGGATCAGTGGTGCACCATTGTGTGATTCTCTGAAATCTTACTCCTAAATATCAAGAAACCAAGAATAAAAGAGTCTGACTATAAATTCCTAGATCAGTGGTTCCAAACTGTGGTCCATGAGGCCTTGGTAAGTGCCCTGCAAAACTGTCCTAAATAGTGTTTTCTGTTGCGAATCTGACAAAGCTTCTAGATTCCCACTAATCCATTGTCCAAAAAGTAGTCCCTCTTCTAGGTGATACAACAAAGCTGAGGAGTAAAACAAATGCTGACTGGTGGTCCTAACCACCTACCAACCCTCTTTGGACAGAGTAGTCTGCGAGTTGAATCTTGCATGGCCCTGGCCAGGGGCTGCAGACTGCTGCTGTTTCCCTCTAAGGGGAGATGCTGCCTGGCCCCTGGAGCTGATCCTTCCAGGGAAATTACCCTTCCACTTCTGCCCTTTGCTCAATTAGCTTTTGCCGTTGTTAATTTGGCAACATTTTGCTTCTAAATTCTGTAATGAGGGTGTGGGAGCAGACAGCGTGACAGAGCAATGGTCATTTTTACCGTGTATTAACATGTCTTCCCTCCTTCCCCTCCAACCCGAGCAGCGTGCTCGACAGCGCAAGTCGCCTGGATGAAGAACATAAGCTGATCGCCAGGTATGCAGCAAGGCTGGCAGCAGAAACTTCTTCATCAGTAAGTGTTTTAATTAAAAAGGAAGGTACTTTCCTTCTGTATGTTCTAGGGTCTTGGCAAGATCAGGGAAATTACATCTGATGGTCTTAATGATTAATGGATTATTTTTCCCTATCCTTTTCATCAGACACTGTTATGATTTAGTAATAACACTCTTATGCAGTCCGTTTAAACCAAAGAATCCACATACTAATGCGTATAATCTATATACTAATGCAATGGTATTTAAACTATTACAGCAAAGGGAATCTGACATCTTGAACTTGGGAAAGACTAGAAAGTATTGTCTGGACTAGCTTTGGTTAAAGGTTAATGATTTACTGAAGTGGAAAAATGGGGTGGTGAATCCATTTTACTCTTTAGTTCAAATATCACGGCTGCTAGGGCCCTAAGTGCTGAGGATTTTAAAGAATGATCTTCAGCAGGATGACTGTAATGACCCCCTGCATTAGCCCTGGCTCCCATTTTCATTTCAGAGCAATGATTATTCTGCTCTATGTATCCCAAGATAGAAGGTGATGGCAGGCTAAAACCTCACTAACTATATTCAGGAATAAGAGAGAATGAAGCAGGAACCTAATCGAAGTATATAAAATCTTAAATGGCACAAATAAGGTCAGCCTAGTTCCTTTTTTTCCATCTCAGCACATTTGATAGAACAAGGGACCATAAATGATGGTTAAGTGAAAAGCAGCTGATCTGGAGTGCCCGGAAGCATATTTTCACACTGAGATTTACACTGCGAGGTCAATTGAAAAGGCACCACTCTTCATGTAAAAACACTGAGTCGCGTTCATCCCAGGTGAAGGCAGCGAGGATGAATCTACCACCCTGTGCAGCCATCTGTCATGGAAAATTTCCCACTACCTGCAGCTGCAGGGGAAGAGAGGGGTGCCCGGGTGCTCCTGGTCTGCCAGCCCAGCCCAAATGAATCCCTTTGAGAGGTGTGACACAGTGTTTCAAATTTGAGGCAACCTATAGGTGATGGTCCGGTTTCTGAAGGATAGTAATTCTAGATTCAAGATTTCCCATTAATAATGTCTCTGGGTAGAAACTGGTGGAAATCAGTTGTATATAACGTGTCTGTGATGTGGGGGAAACTTAGGAAACAGTACTTAAGTAGCTTTTAAATAGAGCTGGTTTGAAGGTAAATACTGAATTTCTCTTTGGCGTCCATCTGTGCTCTTTGAACAAAGGAGACAGAAGGAAAAGAGAAGGTTTCTGTATACAGAAATCTTTCCAAGCACAAGAGTGGCACCACATTAGAAGCACAGTGGAAGTTTTTAAAGCTTTGCTGATGGTCATTCTGGTTTTTAAGGAACAAAATGTACTGACAACACCGAGCATTCAGGATAATGATTGTGGTTCCCTCTGTATCACTCGTGACATCCACCAGCATGTTTCAGTTCTTCTTCTTTGTGTATTCCTCTGCTCCCCTATGGTTGGAGTGTTAATGGGAAAATGTACCCATGGCATAAAAAATAGTAAATGGTTACAGGCATAGCGTACTGTCCTTTCCCCACAGACAGCGCTAACAAAGGTTAGCACTGAGATGTATCTTATCCTTTCTGAGGGTCCATTCTTGCAAGGTGCCACCTCCTGGAGAAGGAAGTGCCTGGCATCACATAAAATTGGGCTCCAGAGTTACACCTCACAAAGCTCTTACAGTGAGAAACACTGAGATAAACAGCTGTAACTCAGCAGAGTATTTTTTAATGTCTAATTCTTTCAGATTGGAGTTAGAAATAAATGCATGTCTTTGATAGCTGTGAAACTTTAAATGTCTTGCTCTGCATTGTCATTGATATAATACTGAAATACAGGAGTACGAACAAACAAACCAATATTTGCTTATTTCTGATAAACATGAAAAAGAGCATAGTCCGATGAAGATGTAGCAAGCACTGTCTAGTTTGGTAAGAAATAGTTTAATTGCCATTTGATTTTATTTGGGGGAAAAGGGTTCTGCTTAACTTGGGACTGGGGAAAGAGCTTTACCTGAGTGTATCGGAGAATTTGCCAAATGGGCCACACAGCCAGACTGAAAACTGAGTACAGCTTTCAGACTGAAAGTGAAACCATGCTTTCAAGAGAAGGAAGCTTGACTGCACTGGAAACACATCCTCTTCTTTTTGGAGAGGAACACTCTTTTTTGCTTCAGTGTTTTCATCTTGTCTGTAGTATCAAAATTAAGAGCCATATTACAACATATCACAACAACTGCCTGCAGCAGTGCCATTGCCTTTTACAATTGGTTCAAAGGAAGCTCCTTGAAGCAGTGAATGACAGGATGGTAAACACTGAGTCTTATTTACTCTAGCACTTACCCTGCTTTTACTAGCACAGGAGCCATCCTGGTATGAACACAACATGGATGCTCTTTTTTTCAGTGTAGGCAAGCCTGGTACTGCATTTTCTGTAAGCAGATTTCACAGAGCAGATCTGCATTGAACTCATAGGTACATCTTGGCTATTCCTTCTTCAGTGCGGCCTTCTCTTTTACAACAGCAACAGGGTCAGCAGAGAGGGGCATCAGATATCTCCTTCACCATTGATGCAAACAAGCAACAAAGGCAGCTGATTGCAGAGCTTGAAAATAAAAACCGGTAAGCATCCACAAAGTACCTGGGTTTGTTTAGTCCCCTGTATGTTGTGCATGTTTTGTTTGTTTTACCACCTACGTTTTTTACCACCTACTTCTGTGCAATGTGCTTATACATGCACAAACACCTCCCCCTACAAAAGGCACAGGGCACAAAAAGGTCCATGGAATATGACAAAAGGCTTTGAAATCCCCAGCCACCTTGTGTTTTAATATGTACTGTTCAATGACGTGATATAACAATTGATACTTTACTGTTTGCAGCTGCTGTTTGTTAAGAGGGTTTTTTTTAAAAAAGAAGCCTGTCCTGTTTCAAAACCAGATTAACTTTGTGTTGGATTCTCTGTAGCACTGTAACCTGAAATGATAAAAGGATCAGTCACACTGGTAATGTTATGCTCCCCTGCTTTCATTTGTGAAAAGACAATCAAAGCTCTCCACAACACAATCTGCCTGGGAAAGGTTTGCAGAAAGGTTAGCAGCAAGTTAGGCTGCTGATCAAATGAGACACTAGGTACAAATGTGACTGAGACTGAGAGAGAGTGTCCACCAAATATAGGCCAGCCGGCCCCAAAAAGAGTGACGCCCATTTGTTAGCAGCAGAGGATCTGGCCCTGGGTATCAGACTGCCTGATGCCATGAAATGTATGGCAGCAGAGCTCTGCTTTTACTGCTGGACTGTACAATAGAGGCCAGCCCAGACCAGATGGTTTCCTATTCCGAACTCTGCACTGCCTTCTGTCACCCTGTAATGAGCCACCAGCTCCAGTGTTGATTTGTCTTTCATAGTTGGAGGCTGCCTCCTGACCGTCTGCTATTCAGTTGTGAAGAAGAGAAAAAATCCACAAAGGTTTCAACCTTCTGCTGCGAAGCTTTGTATTAGCCTTTTGACAGCACTCCAGGGCTGGCAAGCCAGCCATAACAAGTCCTATTAAAGGGCTTCTCCGTGAATTGTTTACCACTCTCAGATCTCTGCTTACCCTGGAAGTTTTTTTTTAAGTGCGAAATATTTTCTCTGTTACTCGAGAGGGGCCAGGTATTATTTTAGTTTTTGTGAAGTTCATATGCTGCTTGAAATGTTCATGGGAAAGAAGTAGAAGGGAGCAATTTAATTAAGCATATTGCTATTTCATATCTACCTCTTGACTTTTGAGGGTCTTGAAGAAATATTTCCCTTTATGGTGAAATCTTAAAACTCTATTTAAAAGATCTCCAGAGACCTGTCTCAGTGCTGAGGGCTTCTTTTGTTGTTTGGAGCCTGGTCATTATATCCACGTTGATGAAGAGCAACATACAGTCACACTTTTTTCTCCTCTTGCGATGTCCAGTGAGATGGTTTTGTGGAAAATAATATTGACTTGTAGTCTTCTGCTTATTCTCCTCCCCAAGAGAAATCCTACAGGAGATCCAGAGGCTGCGACTTGAACATGAGCAAGCATCTCAGCCCACACCAGAGAAGGCACAACAAAATCCCACCCTCCTTGCAGAGCTCCGGCTCCTGAGGTAAGTCCACAGCAGTAAAACCTCCGGCAATGACTGGAGACAAAAGAAGAAATAAGAGATAAGCCTGGCTTACAGTTTTGGGGGCTTTTTTAAGTAAATAACACTGTGTATTTTTTCTCCATTTTCGGTGCAGGTTGTAGTCCTAAAAGTAATTAAGCTTACGCTTGAAAGAGCATGCATGAGGAATCTCACATATTACTCATCTACATTAAATTAAGCACGTGCATTAGTGTTTGCAGAGTTAGGCCCTTAGGTCATTTGGAATAGGTCCCCACAGTCTTGTCCAAACACCATTAACTATATGGGGAAAAACGTCATTCTGTCAGAACAAATGCTTCTACAAAGACTTCTCCTTTATGCTAGAGTAAATATAGAGCTACATGAAAATGCAGCCAGAATTAAACCTTAATTTTTGGAAATTTCCCCCATGTGTTGAACTCTAAGGAGAGGTCACTTCTCTTCACGGTGCAAAACCGGGCTGCAGAAGGATCCTCCTTGTCATGTGGGAAGTGAGGAGTAATGTCATCTGCAGCAGCTGAAGATTTAGAGAAACATTTCTCCCATTATCCCACCAAGCTAAAAACATTGATATGGATGTGTCTGTATGTTAATTAGGATACTCTACATGGATATACTAATTGCCACGTATATCACATTGAAGAAGAACAGTTGTCGTTGGCCCAGATCTGTAGGCTCCCTGCAAGTCCTGAAGTTCATGTTTTAAGAGCCAGAGAATCCAGTAAGAACTATTCAGAACACCTCATATGAATACAGTGTTAACACTTTATTTCTAGTGAAACAATGCTAGATTAAATTTTATTCACCCCCCTATAGAGCAGTTCTCTCATGAGAAGACTAAAGAACGTTTTTGGCCACATAGCCACTCCTCACACAAGTAATATTTTAGTGGTCTGATTCATAACCAAAGGAAATTACTGTAAAAAACTGCTAAATTTTTTTCTTTACAGATACTGTATAGTTTTATTATTGAGTTTTTCACACTAAAATATTTTCCTGTTTCACAAATAATTACATTTGCTTTCCAATTTGCAAACAAATTAGCTTCTTCATTCCTATGAGTGATTTTAGTATGTAATTACTCCTAGATATATACAGGCAAGTGACGTTATGAGAGAGATATAAAACTGACTGTGATGAAAATGCATACACTGTATAAAATGTACCAGTAATGTAGCTCCTGTGCATCAAGCCTAAAGTCTATTTTAAGCAGATTTAGGAGATTGGCTTTATATGTAATCGACAAATAAAATTCATTATTCTTAAAAAAAAAATCAAATGACAGTGCAGTGTTAGCAGACTGACTACTTAATTTTTCCCTCTTTTCAATTTTCCTGCACATATCAAAAGCATAATAACCTTATTTGAATTTCCTGACACAGGATGTCCCTAGGGCAGTGATGCTGAGTTCCTCAACTATCTTATCTTTTCTGATTTAATATGCAGTGTCAGAGTCAGAAAATAACTTTTAATCTGTGAGTCTGTACTGCTTTGCATACCTTCTAAAATGTTCACCATCTGAAAGGCAAAAGATTGGCTTTTGACTTACTGTGGAATTTCGACACCACCTCAAATTCCTAGGCGCCTAAGATGTCACTAGGCTGTTCTTACCATGTGCAAATCAGCGGGAGACAGAAGAGCCACACCGATTTATGTCTGTTACCCCACAGACTTTTGGGGCTTGAAGCAATTAGGACAGTAGGGCAATTTAGTTCGTATAACAATAAGAAATGCTGGAATCTGTAAATTATGTTGTGGATGACTGTCCCAGCATCTGTCACTAGGTGCTGTAGTGTTGCAGACTGACTGAAATGAGGTTCTGAACACAGCATTCCTTCACATTACTGGTGCTGTCTTGGAGACAGGTTGGAAAGCCCATTACTTTCAAGAACTTGCTCTGGAGTACAGTGGGAGAAAAAAATTCAGAGGAGCTGTCTGTACCTTGCACGCTGCTTAGTTCCTCTCTCCCTGTAGAAAGGATCTCAGCCCCAGCAGAGGTCTGTGCTAGGACCTGCCGCTTCAAACTACATGGATAGGGTGTCTGATTTTTATTAGCGGTTTCTTAAACTCATTTGCCTTTGTACAGTTTATAGCATTTCCAACCATTACACACTTGTAAGAGAAAAGCCAGCACAGACAATTTGTAGGAGAAAATAGATTAATCCTTCAGAAAAGTAAATACAACTTGGCAGTGTTACTATCTGATGCTATTATATAGGTGAGAGATAGCACACATGAACAATCCTGTAGAAATCAGTGTTGTTTCTATCAGTAACTGTTCAGACAACTTACAGAGAAGGCTCAAAATCAGGGTTTCATATTTCCCTAAAAAAAGGAAATGTATTTAGTCTTGTTGACTCTGGTGCTTTTTCATTTAGGATTAAATTGTCATATTTTGCAGGTAGTCCAGGGCTAATGACATCGTGAATTTATGTTATTTGCAACACAATAGTGTGTAAAATATACTTAATATGTATATTTTTCAACAGTAGTGTTGTTAATTATGTCATAGCTTCCAGGAGGCAACAATTTTATTTTGTGGTTTTGTGGGGACCTCTCTCATACAATTTAGTGATTGAACATGTGTGAGTGCTGAACCCCCATCCTGTGCAGTGGAGCTGTGCAGAATCAAAGCTGTTCCCTTTTATGTGGACACAAACTGACTGTCACACTTGAAGTGGCTCAGTATTCAGACTCTCTTAGGACCAGAACTGGACTCCGAGTCCAAAGAGCTATTTTCAAGCAGTTATATATCCCCTATATGATAGTCTTACTCTTGCTTCCAGGAAAAAAAAAAAAGAAAGAAACAAAAGCAGATAATTGTGGTTTTCAGGCTGAATTTCTGAACTCTCTTAGCTTCTCTCATGCCTCGCTCTGTTCAGTGCCCCTGCTGTAATTTCCTGTCCTTCAGGGCATGGCTTTAATTTCTCCTGACAGCTAGTGAGGTTATTGACTAGAGACATCAAAAGACAAAAACCACCAGGCATTCCCACAAGGGAATATAACACAAATTTGTTTGAACCTCATTTGTTCTTTGGAGAAGGGTCTGTGTCAGTGTCTATCTGTTTCGTAATCACTATATTCAGTCCCAGGAATATTCTCAGTAGGAGGGGACTCCCTAGCTTTCATGTCGCCCTGTTTCTAAGCACTATGCTGAATTCATACAGTGTGTTTGCTTTCCTGCGGTCTATAGGCGTATACTTCATCGTCGAGGTGGGGAAATGATGCAGTTAAAAGCTGCTGATGCTGTGAGGGGTAAGTTCTGATCAGATTTGCTTGTTTCTCAGACAGCGGAAGGATGAGCTGGAACAGAGGATGTCTGCTCTTCAGGAAAGCCGGAGGGAGCTTATGGTTCAGTTAGAAGGCCTCATGAAACTGCTGAAGGTAAGGAGCTCCACTTGATACTACCAAGAAGAAAAGGCAGAGAAGCAAGAGAGGAGAGGGAGGAGAGACGGCCACAGAATTCTGCAGAACTTGACTATTTCCACCCATAAAACTTGGCTTTGTGTCCTTCCTTTCTATTTTTTGCTTTGGTCTTTCAAATAATGTTGTTCCTGCAATAACATCACATCATCATTGTCACGTACTGCTAAGTGCGTGGAACATTAGAGACACCTCCAAACTACTGAAGAATTAATACAATCCTTTGAATAATATTGCAGCGTGATGCAATACAGTCCTGTTTAGCTCGTTTACAAAGGGATTAGGTTGCATCTCCAGATTTCAGGCTAGAGGTCTCTGGCTCGACCGTTTGACAATGTCCAAAATATTTTGTAGTCCAGTTTCAGGTGTTCTGAGAGTTTTCTCTGTTGAGGACATCAAATATCAAACAAAAGAATGTGAAAAGAAACAAAACAACACATAAAATGAGATAACTATTAACTGTGAGACAAATAACTCGGCACTGTTGTTATCTGCACCAGCATCAGCTGATGTACAGTACAGAATTGTTTTTACTATTTCTTTGCCCATTCAGTTGCTAATTCTGTCAGACATGCCATTTGACAACCACATCTAACTCTCTGACCTTAGAGATGCTTCCCCAACAACACTTGGTCATTTCCATAAATACAGAAACAAGCCCTTGTTAAACAAATGAAGCATACCTCAACAAAGGATCTCAGTTAAAAATGAAGATATCAAAAAGCGTGTCCATTTTTAAGACAGACTAGGGTAAGACAGAAAATGTATCCGTATTTGCAGAGCCCAGCCCTATTTTACCTGATTTTTCTCAGGACAGATGATGCCAGAAATTCTCTTTGGAAGAAAGTGCTCTGAATAGCATCAGTCCATTTTGTTGTTGATAAAATGAGTGCATGAATATTCATTGCAACTTGGGTCACATATGACTCTGATAAAAGCAGAAAGAATTTCTCTGAAATCCATTTAGCAAAATGTGTTTGCATTGAAGAATGAGTTTGACCCTTTATGTCATTTGCATCTCCTCAGGCACAGGCTTCTGCAGCCACGATGCAGGAACTGGTGGTGCCTGCGCAGCAGGGCCAACTGAGTAGCCAGCAGATTTTGGGGAGCTGGGAGTAGACAGAATACTTTTCGCTCTTATCTATGAAATGCTGCAGTGCTACAAGTAGCAGTCAGGGCTGCTTTCTGTCGTTGCACTGCCTGGACAAAGAGAATTTGGGATAGGAAATGATGTTAGCTTTCTGCACGCTTTGCACTGTTCTGGTGTTCCAAAGTGTGCAGAGGTGGGACCATAACCTGGTCACATACTTTCAACTATCTCGACTGTAGCTTTAACCCTGTACTCCAAATTTGGCTTTGTTTTCTGCTCTTCACTTACATCCTGGCAAATCTCATGTGCTGATCCTCTTTTTCTTTAGGAAGAAGAATTGAAACAGGTAGTAAGTTACCTCCTTTTTGGAGGCCTCACTAACTCCTTAATGTGATTGTGTTCCTGTGATTTATTTTACTTCCTTTGCTTGAAATGTGTGTGTGTTCTTTTGACCAAAATTACTATTTTGCAATTCTTTCACGCATTTTTTTTCAAGTATCTTGGCACAATTTTCGCAATTAAACCTGTTAGCCCTCTAGAAAGTGAGTCACAGCTACAAGGAGTCTTGATCTTTTTCTCACTCCTCTAAATAAGAACATGTAAGATATAGAAACCACCACCCAAATGTAGTGAAACAAAGCCAGAATATGAATTAAAAAACACTTCTATGGTATAGATAACATTTTGAAAATGTAATGAGAATTTTGAAACTTTAATAAAAGTATAACTGCGTTTAAATTAGACCAGAACAATGAGTTTGAAATCCTACTTTATCCAGAAAAAAAAGTGAAGGCATTGTTTGCACATCTTTTAAAGTTGGCACTAACAGTCCTGTGAGTCTTCAGGAAAATAATCTAGTTTCTTAAATGGCTTCTGCAAGCTAGATCAAAAAGGGCAAGTATTTATATTACTAATGGTAAACTTTAGAAGATTTAATTGTTTTGGAGCTTTTTAGTGTTGAAATGGATCTTGGAAAGATATTAGGCTAAAAAACCCCACATTTCGGACAACAATCTGATTTACAAGTCCAATAAAAAATGTTTCGTTCTAAAAAACCACACTTCCTCTTTCTTTCACAAGTCTGATGTGTTCTGTCTGTGATAGAGCATGCAGAGTTTGTAAGTAATGCTGACGTTCATAAAACTAACATTTTGGCTAGTTTTTGTAGAGCATCAATCTGTTGCACAAAAGAAAAATTGGACAAAACATCGCCTCTGTATAAGGGCCATCTTTTTGATTCTGTGTAACAGTATTAAAAGATTTTTGATTCACAAAAGAGAAGTTTCCGATGTGACAAGAGTTTCCCTACCATATAAAATGTTCACTGGACAGTGTAAGTGAAAGCACATTTTCAGGCTATTACGAGATACGATTTTCTTCTTCCAAGAGTAACAGCCTCACTGAATACCAGGTGGTGACACTAAGGAATTACTATCACATTTTCCATGAAATGATCCCCATTACACTGCCGTTTCATGATCTGTTGAGGGAAACAGGATTAAATTAATTTGTGGAGGAACTCAATTGAAATGAGCAGCCTGGCAATTCATTTAATGCTTATGAACTTTCTATTTCTCTACTGCCCTTCCTTGAGAAAGGATAATGAGTTCTTCACATCCGTGTGGTTTGATGAGGCTGTGAGAGGGGCTTTCCCTGGGTGCCATCCCGGCCGAGTTCCGGCAGAGGGAGCAATGGGCTAAAGCTCCTGTGAAGCCAGTTTTCGTTTCAAGCATTTTATCCTAAGCGTGCATGACATTTGATAGTGGGGAACCTTTCCCTGTCTAGCAAGGGTTAACTTAAAATCCGTAGCAGGTTGACTAGGGATGATGAATTAAATAAAATGCATGGAAGTTTTCCTAGATGGCACGAGCCCATTGATAGCTGCAACCAAGTGCAACATAAAAGCTGAAGCCATCCATATATCTGTGGTGGCTGTGGTAGCTCCCCTTTCAGCATGTCTTAGTCCTCAGCTGGGGCAGCTGCCGAGGTTTGGGAGCAATTCGGTGCTCAGTTTCTCTGCTGAGATTGGCAAGAAGTCCCTACTGATTATCATAGCAGCTTTGAGGCCATTAGCTCTAGCCTGTGAAAACCACATTTCTCCTGTTAATCACTAAGCAGGAATCTAATCCTCAGAGCTACTCCATTCCCACAAACTTGGACTGAGGTGGACCTAGATGAGTAAAATATAATTAAAGTGCTCACCTCTCTGAAACCAGACATTGCCTAATATCCTCCTATTTCAATTTGCTGTTCATCAGTTCTGTCTGATATTGCCCAAACAGTATAAAAAGAGAGGAGTTTTTTACTGGACAGGGGACTCCAAATGCTTCATCGCCCTGTGGTTCCCAAACAGTTTGTTCCAATGCTGAAAGCTACAGATAAGAGAGCACTGTTTATTATAAACACAAGATCTCAGTCATAGCTGCAAAGCAGACACAAGGGTAAGCACTGGTGTGCAGCAGCCTTTACATTTCTCTTGTGGGAAAATTCCAGTGAAATAGTACTGGCAGGCATCTGTTATTTTTAGTAAATAAAATGCCTATTCTGAAGTTCATTCCTTAAATATGACTTGGCTATAGGAAGCAAATTTTGTCCATTTTTTTCTCCTCTTCTCTGAAAAGGACCACTGTTGTTGGTATTCCCCAGAAGCGAGATCAAAGGCAAAGGAGAGCTGAGGAAAAAGGGCAAGCAAAAGAGGGAGCTGGGAACCAGAAATTCTTTCGCAAATTTGTTTCACAGAGGATGAAACATCCCCTGCAATGACATGAAAGGAAATAGCTGTAGCTCCCAGATCCCCTGCCTGGTGTGCAGAGGGTGCCACTTCCAGGGACCTTGGGGCATCTCCAGGTCGCTCTGTGCAGGACTAGAGATTGCCTCTGTTGCCTCTGGAGGACTAGAGATCTGCATTTCTGCTGGAGTGGGTACAGATGATTCCAGAAACGGGAGAGCATCTGGCCTTTATGTATTCAACTTCCCTTTCATCCATCATTTAAATGTTCTAAAACTGATCATTAAAGAAATTATGAGTATTAAATCCTCTGTTCTCTCATCAGTAATATCCTTATTCTTCCTAACCTAATTTGCCCTTGATGTGTCTTTAGTGTTAATGTCTCTTAGAAAGGAGTGATAGGAGAAAGAACAAATAGCTTAGTATTCTGATTTATTATTTATGGTCTGGGGCAGGAATTTATAATAATCTCACAGCAATACTGCACTCCTCCTGCAATGGGCTGCTTCTGTCTTTTTTAGAACGCATTTGCCAAACCGTGTCAGGGCTGCCACAGCAGAAGTCGAAAGAAATGACATGGGAAGCGTTAAGAAATCCTTCTGAATTCTCAGAATAAACCACACTGAGGGAAACACCAGCCCTCGGGTTGCTTTTCACTGTAAACAACCAGGTGCTTGTGTTGTAGTTCGCCTTTAACAGCACTCGAGCCACCTCCATCCTCAGCATCTACCAGACACAGGTTTTGAGTCAAAAGCCGTGGGCTCCAGCATCTGCTTTTCCTTACATGGACACACATTCCCAGAGGTTTTGAAACAGTGGATGAGAAGGGCACTCTGTCTCTTTATCGCTCACCCAGCTGCGTTTGTAAAAATGACAATTTTGTAAAGTTTGCTTGAATTTCAGCTAAGTGGTGCTAACTGTGAGGTGCTAACAGCATGGCATTTTATATGACTGGTGTTAAAACATTTTCACTTCCAGCAACTAAACCCATAGCAGGAATTTATATTGCCCTATCCCCACAGTGTTTTGGGAGTGCCTGAGTATATCCTGTAGAGTGAACAATTTAATAGCATATGATTTAATAGTGGCTTAAAATAGTTCTCTAGCTCTGAATAAAAAGCATAAAACTATATTATTTATTACAAGTGTCAGACTTTATGTGACTGAGAGGCTGCATGTACCATGAACTTCTCCTGCAGGGAGGCAGAGGGCAGGGCGGTGATCGGCTCTCACGGCAGCGCTCTGATGAAAGGGGCTGTTTCAGTCCCTTGCCAGGCTGAAAACCACATCAGTGCCAGCGTCTTTCCCCTTCTCACAGCCTGAATGGGTTATGTTTTCTCAAACATGCATGTGAACTGGGGGGGTGAGAGAGGGAAGAGGGCAGAGAGAACGTCTATACTTTGGTGCTTATTAACTTGCATTTTTTTTTAATTTAGCTGCCTGACATTTTCCCATGCTTAAAGGAAGTCAGATCTTGACTCATATTTTCCTACTTACTATTTTTCTACACGGGTGGGTTGCTGTCTGCTAACAACCGACTTCAGTGTATTTCTTTTAGGAAAATTAACATTATCCAACTGATCTACGAATAGCATGATGCCTTTAAGCTGAGGGATGGGTGACAAGGATAGCAGGTGAGGGCTCTTGCACAGATCTGTTTAACCCCTTGTGATTGTTTTGCAGACCCAAGGGGCAGGCTCCCCACGTTCCTCACCCAGCCACACTATCAGTCGACCGATTCCAATGCCCATCAGGTCTGCCTCTGCCTGCTCCACCCCAACCCACGCACCTCAGGACTCTCTGACCGGGGTGGGAGGAGATGTGCAGGAAGCCTTTGCACAAAGTAAGTCTCATTAGTAGTTTGTCTGAGGTACTTGGAGGCTGTGAGAAGAATCGTTATTTCTTGTGGTTAATGACTACATGAACTTGAGCTTCTGAGTTGTGCATAATGAAATAAAACCAAAAAAAGAATCTGCAACAACTGTGTTTTTCCATTGAAAATCAACTTTGTCAGCCATCAGACTTTGCTGTCAAAGCGAGCAGGTAAGGAGAAACTGGACAATGATGCAAATTAATTGATTTTGTGGTAAAAGGGAATTTTAATGCAAGATGGTCAGAGCAGTTATCAGTGCTCTGTTAAACTAGGAGAAGAAAAATTGCTATTGACCTCAGCAAGGTGTTGGCAATGTGTTTGGTTGTCAGTGTCTTTGGTTTTAAATAAAGACTTTGCTAGGAATAGATGACACAATCATAGAATTAGTCCAGGTGAAAACGGCTCTTAAAAGACACCATGTCCTCCTGCTCCAAGAAGGGAGGCTTCAAAGTGAAATCAGACCGTTCAGAACCTTAACCAGGTCTGTTCTGAACAGCTCCTAGCACGCATTTTCCACAGCCTCTGTTCCAGTGTTTGACCATGCTTGCTGTGTCAATTTTTTGTCCTTGTATCTCCCTTCATGCAGCCTGTGACTGTTGTCCCTTGTCCTTTTGCTTCGAGTCTCTGAGAAGGGTCCAGCTAGACTAGTCAGTAATCAAGTCTGGAAGTCTAGGTGAACCCTTCCTCTGTGTTTCCAGAAAACTGCCATAGGCTGCACTGTGTTTCTCACTTCTCTTTCCACTCTTTTGTCAAGTAACAATAAATTTTAACTCTTTTGAATTTCTAAGGCCACAGATTAAATTATAACGTTCAATACTAAAGAAAGTAAATAGTCTGTGTGATCTAAATGAAGAAGTATTCTTTCTTTTTCTAATCTACTCTCTCCTAAAATATTTACATAGAATCATAGAATGGTTTGAGTTGGAAGGGACCTTAAAGATCATCTAGTTCCAATCCCTCTGCCATGGGCAGGGACACCTTCCACTAAATCAGGTTGCTCAAAGCCTCATCCAAAAAAAAACCTCACCCCCTCCCGGGGTGGGGCCAGCCACAACTTCTCTGGGCAACCTACCTGTTCCAGTGCCTCACCACCCTCAGAGGGAAGAATTTCTTCCTTATATCTAATCTAAATCTATGCTCTTTCAGTTTAAAGCCATTGCCCCTTGTCCTATCACTACAGACCCTTGTAAAAAGGTCCTATCCAGCTTTCTTGTAGGCCCCTTTTAGGTAC